CCTTGCGCTTTATTAAAACCTCGTACGCTAATTACCACAAGGTCTTCCATCACTGTAGCTCGTGGAGAGGGTGAAGGTGGCCGTCGCAACCAAGCGGCCTTCTTGATGCTTCCCTGTGCCGTCGTGCTGGTGAACACGACAAGATTGAGAAAATCGCCGTTGAAATTGGCTTCCGCGTGCCATCCAGTACGCAGAGACGTCGCTCACTATAGCTGCAGACTTTTGGATTTTCTGAATTGAATCTTTATCACTGTCGATCAATCACATCGCTGCTAAGATAAAAAGCACATTTCACAAATCAACGTCTCGTTCTCGTCGACCACGGCTGCTTCCGAAACAATCCATGCGATCCCCTATTCACCAGCAAAATTATCCATATTTGCCAGCAACAGCAAAGATGTGAGCAATCAAACTGGCAGGAGGAGCTTCGTCGGCAGCGACGAGGTTTCCTGCGTCTTAGCATCATGTTCTTCCACACCAAATTGGCCATTTGTCTCCACGGCGCTGCCACGCGAGCCGCAGCACCTGTGTGTTCACTTGAACCTTTTATTTGTTTGCGTCATCCGTTGAGTCTTGAGAATACAGCGACAGCCGCCAGCACATCAGCAATAATAACCGCTGCAGTAATTAGGATCGTATTAGCGGACGAAATACCTCCGTCGCACTCGTTCTGGTACGTGAAGACACTGTCAAACAGCTCTTGGCACGTCGTGACCACCGTCGACGTCGTGTTGCAAGCCTGGGGAGACGCCACCGCAGCGCAGCACGAGTTGGACGCAGAACACGTCATCTTGGACCACATGACTCGACACACTGATGCTCCATTGTACTCGCTGCTGTCTGAGTGATGCAGGTTCTTCTGCTGCTTCGTCCAAATAAAGTGTACCTGTGAAATAGCATTGATTAACGAAAGACCTATCATAATGAATGACGTTCTCTTTACGTAAGAAAAACGCGAACGGGAACTTTTTGAACCACCAAAACTTTACGTTAACTTCGTTTACGTCCCCATCCCTAGATCAGACCCTCCGCTCAAAATAAATGTTATTCAAAACCCAGGAAAAGTACGAAACGACACTCTCATGAATTGCCTTCTTCAATTAATTTACCCTAAATACATAATCCATATATTGTATTTTTTTCGGATTTGGTGAATGTTGCCTGTGGATCACTGCCTTACACTGGCTCGACCTTCGGAGAAAATCACCTAAGCAAGTACATCGCAGTTATAACAATAGTTAAAATCGAGCACATGCACTCGATAAAAAGCACGTGCCGCCTACTCGATATTTCTTACGCTTTTATTAGTGAGCTTTGTTAGAGTTATCGTCGAGTTCTCTTAAGTCTACAAATTGAAGCTGAGAGGAGCCCTAAATTGTTCGTTGCATAAGCTTACAATACACGGCATTTCCAGATAAAGTACCAAGGCGCCACCAGAATCTACCAACTACTCCGATAAAACCCAGCTCTTGCTGCTCGACGCTATCCTGCACTTTCTTACTCTTGTCCTCGCTTCACTAATGCATCTTCTCCTCCATCTCAGGTAACTGACAGCAAGTACCATGTCAATAAAATAGGTACCGTAACTATAGCCAAGTACCGTGTCACGCATTAACGCACCGTATTATGAAAGTATACGCAAAAATACTACGTGCCCCTCATCATAAAAAACGTCAGAGCTAAGCGAGAAAACATTGTTGGGTATTATTTGAAGCACTGCGATGAAAACGTTAAAACGGTAATCTTGTGACTTTGCCTCTTCGAGTCGCTGATGGATTGCGCAACATTTTCACGGCACTGTTTGATTTTACACGCGTGGGTAAACCAAGTCTCTACGTAGTCTTTGGCGATTTCTTTGTCTCGCTTGATTTCTTTTATAGTTTTCATTATGATGTGCCTTTCTGCTATGTCGCATCTCGACGAACTCTGTGTTTGGACTACACGAATGAATAAGAAATCGCGCCACCGCTCCCCACTCTTGTGCGTCAATATACAGCTTTTTTGCTTTCACGGCTTTTGCATTAAAGCTGACCAATTATTCAAACTGATGGGAATTACTGTTATATTTAAAGTTCGTCATCAATCCAGTGTACGGTACAATTGTAGTACCGACAGGAATGCTGTCTATTATCCGCACGCCTACTTCATTAGCAGACGTGATAGCTCAACGTCTATGTGTTCGTAGACTCCATTCGAGCAGCGGCCTCTAGACGCGCAATTTTCAAATTCACAGAAGATTTGTACCTCTGCATGAGGACATGTATCAGCGTAGCAGTCACAGTAGCACTTGCATCGGTCTGATGGCCAATAATCTTCGATCACAATTTCTTCCTTAATGTTCAGCTGAAGAGAATGAATGATTGACGCTGGCCAGGCAATAGCTGAAGTCGGCTGTGAGGTGCATGCATCTGGTTCCCCAGCTGCTAGGTCAACAACTACGTCCTCACGATCTGTCTGTTTACATTATTCTGTTTCTCGAGCTTTTCCTCTCTCTATGTCGTTTTTTTCGACCTCCTCGTCACCTGCATTGGGCTGCGACGATTTTCATTCTCCACCCGTCGCTGACGAAGGAGCTGTAAAGCCTCACGAACGCCTGGTAACTCAAGTATGCTTGGATAAATTTGGTTTGCATTGACTTCGCGTGATACACGCGCTTTGAGACCTTAATTGCTGCTCGATGCTCCTGTCTCGTCGGCTTTCGGGAGGGTCTCGAGGGGCACGCGTTTTTCCCGAATTATTTTATTTTTCTTCTCTCTTGTTTTATACGTTTGGATAGAAACCTCAGCATTCGAGGCGACCTCCAGCTTTTGTTATTTTTGGATCTCTTCTCGTGTGTCCTCATTATCTTCACCGCCGTCCTCTTCACTGCTTAACAGTTAGGACGACAGCGTCCACGCCCTCCTCCTCGCTGGACGGGTCATCGCTGCTAACGAGGTCAACCACGTCGGAGCCACCAGCTGCGCTCATCTTTCTTTTGAGTGTTAGCCAAAGAACTTAAATTGACTTTATGCCACACCAGCTACAGTGCGGGCGGTAATTATACATGTACACATAAATGCAGCGCAGATCTTCAAAAGAAGGTCAAGCTAGATCCCAATTTACGGTGGGTTTCTGTCGTTTTAAGACTAATCCTATCGCGGGAGGTTGTGGTCCCTTCATCGTGCGTCCTGTTGTTACATCGTTGTGGACTGGGCATGCCGTTTTGTGGAAATTCCCTCAGAAATCTAGCAAATCTCCTCTTGGGTTGCCTTTATTTTTTCCAAGGTTAAGTATAACTTGCTGTAAGATTCATGTAGTATTGTAATTACATGTAAGGCTGCGGTACAGACGAGGACACTTTAATATGACGGACACTAATGAATGACACGAGGTTTTTTGTCAATAATTTCAGCCAATAGAATGTCAAAAACAATATTGTGGCCATGAGCTCACTTCGAATCGTGCCATGGAAGAGCTCGAGCTGCGAATGCTCCAGTGGGGTATCCGCGATGGTGCCGGAGCTGCCGGCGACGAGGATGACGCTGCTGAAAGCGACAGTAGCGGTGGCGGTGAGGTGATCTATCAGCTGAATCTACCATCAAAAGGTCGTCGTAGCACGTATTCAAACGAACTAAAGCTTCGAGTCGTTGAGAAAGTTAAAGCAGGCGGCAAAGTCGCTGCTGTAGCTGCTTCCAATGACGTGCACACTCGCACAGCTGTGTACGAGTGGATAAAGAACGAGGATAGACTTAGAGAAGCGTGTGCTAACAAAAAGAGCTCCAAGACCACGTTAGGGGGCCAGGGCCGTCACTGCGTTTTCCCATACGCAGATGAGCTCATACAGTGGATTAAAGCCATGCGTCGTGATGATTTTGCACTAAAAACTAACCACTGTGTTGCTTTTGTCAAGGAAGAATACAGCTCATGGGCTTCGGACTATTTGCTGACGCGTCAAGAGGACAGTCTACGACGTGCAATCCGTCGCGTAGCACTGAGTCGCGGCTTTTCGTTTCGTCGGGCCACCAAAACTATCATATCGACCCAAGAGCTGCTCGCAGAGCAGCAGCGCTTTTCGGCAGAGGTTGGCGCCGAAATCAAGAAGGCGTACCAGCGAGAGTGCGTCTTCAATGCTGACGAAACCGCGGTCTACTACGAGGAAGACCCCGGCATCATCCTTGCCGAGCGCGGCCAAAGCAAGTCCGCGCGGGTCAAAGGACGCCGCCGTTCGGATCGAGCGAGTGTGCTGCTCACCGTTTCCGCGGCAGGAAAAAAGCTAAAGCCGCTAGTCATTTTCCGCGGCCAGCCAGGCGGCACAATTGAACGTGATATGACGGCATACTCGAACCAAGTCCTTGTAACCGTCCAACAAAATGGTTGGATGGATACAAGGGTTTGGAACGAAACGTTTATCAACGGTCAGTGGGCAGAATTTGTTTGTGACGAATTCCCAGACCCTCTAGCCATCTACGTCGACAATCTGAAGTGCCATGTGTCCGAGACCGCGCAGGAAGCATTCGCGTCGTGGGGGACAGAGCTCGTGCCTCTACCAAAAAACACTACTGCTGTACTACAACCTCTGGACGTGGGCATCATGGGCCCGTTCAAGAAGAAGCTACGCTCGCTGACGCTATCCTACAACTTAACCTCCATCCAGAGGAATGGGTCCCTGCCTCTGCGGGAGAGGCTGCTGGCGCTCAAGCGCATGTCTGCAGATGAGAAGAGAAAGCTGCTTGTAGACAGGGTAGTGACAGCGTGGGCGGCCATCGACGAGCGCTGCATCAAGCGGGCTTGGGAGAAAGCTGGACTGTAATACATGTACATCTTTACAGTTGATTGGATAAAAATATTAGGATTTGAAAGCATAGATAACGAAAAACCAAAAGTGTCATATTAAAGTGTCCTCGTCTGTATCCAATATAGCAATACCGGTGCATAAAGGCTTACAGGTATTTGAAACTGGGTACTCTTACTTTTTTTTAAACCCAATATGGGTGATCAATTTACCCAAAATTCCAAAGATTCCAAAACCAATTTGCAATCCTGCTACAGGCGATGGCTTCCTTTCCCACCCGCCCCATGTGGGCGGCGTGCAGCGTGTTCCGTCGTAAAGTACGTGGCACAGTAATCACTACCGGAATTACGCCCCCCCGACTGGCACTGTGGTCGATGGGCACCACGCAGCGCGTATTTTCCAGTGGAAGCGGAGAAGTTCGTGACGGCTCGAGCAATACGCACGAGGTCGGCGATGTAGTACCGAAAGACCAGTGCCAGCGGTCTTCGTTCCTGCGCAACATCGACCTGACAAATCCATCGGCGCAGCAGAAGCTGTCTAAGTTGATCCAGGAGGTGGTCAAGACTAAGGCCGACACCGGTGGTGCGTTTAATTGATAAAAAAAAGGATGGGTAGGATAGTTAGTGACAATGTTGAAGTAGATTTTGTGCCGCAAGTCGTGATCCAGAGTCTTTGCACGGCGTATCGAGGCATGCATACTGACGAGAAGAGGCAGTTTCTTCTTATCTTGGCACAGGACTTGCACATTGACACGGCTGTGGTGAGTAGCTGAGGATTCGATATTTTTTTGTAGCTGCTGTAATTAACCGAAACGTGGGCTTCTTTTGCTCTACTTATGTGAGGTAGGCTTTGCAAAACGCTGCTCAGTTCGAGCAGAACATGGTCAACGTGATGGACGCCCGCGGTGGTATCGTGAACTGGGAGCACGAGAACGTGGAGAGATACCTGCGCACGTTTATAAATCTCCGTAACGCACTCTCGCCGCTCTATGAGGTAAATGATATTTGCATTTAATTGGAATGTGTGGGATCTGACAAGGGTGACAACATTCTAGATGTTCTTTCAACAAATTTTGTCACAGCGAGAAAACGGGATGTTGTTCTTAGTACACATGAGAGCAGACCTGCTGCAAGTATTGCGTAAGAGCGCAAGCCATTCCGAAATCCCTGCTCTTCGCTCATTTGACGCAAGCTTAAAAGTGAGTACACGGGTGCTTGTGGTGTACTACTGTCCTATTGGTGTATTGTCCTATACGACAATTGACGCCTGTGTGCTCTGTTTTAGCAATTTTTGGCATCGTGGTTTAGCGTTGGATTCTTGAAGTTAGAGCGTGTGACCTACGAGCACTCTCCTGGCCAGCTTCTGGAGAAAATCATTCGCTACGAGGCAGTGCACCCTGTGGGCACGATTGCCGAACTTAAGAGGCGGCTTGGTAGGCTGGGACAATTCTGCTGATGTCTTGAATGGTGGCTTGACAGGTGCTTGTTCCTTGTCCTAGGAAATGGACGGCGGTGCTTTGCTTTTTTTCACCCTAGGTGAGATCAATGGAGCTGGAGACAGCTCAGCCTTTCATATTTAATTTATTTTGTTTCTACATGTACTGTAGTATTCCAGATGAGCCCTTGGTGTTTGTGCATGTAGCACTGATGCAAGAGATCGCATCCAGCATGCAGTCCATTCGTGATGAAACGGAGCAGCTAGCAGACACCTCTCAAGCCAACGCTGCTATCTTTTACTCTATCTCTTCGACGCAAAAGGGACTTGCGGTAGGGTGAGCACTTTGCATTTGTAATGGTAACAAACTGCTAACATACCGCACTTGTTTGTATTATTCCAGGGTGTCGACTTGGGTAATTTCCTCATTAAAGAGGTCGCTAAAGCCCTCAAGACAGAGCACCCGCGCTTAAAAATGTTCGCGACTCTGAGCCCATTGCCCCAATTTATGCCATGGCTCGAAACGCAGCGGTATAAAACGGATGAATCATTGGTTTACCCGATGGAGCTTGATGCTCTGATGGATGCGTTAGAAAAGCGTAGCGTCGCTGTTCCGTCAAACGCAACTCCCGTGGCCATTGTTTTGGACACGCTGTCGATCGATAAGTGGAGCGAAGACCCGGAGCTGGATGCAGTACTTAAGCCTATCATGTTGAAGCTCGGTGCACGCTATATCTACCATGAAAAGAAGCGCGGAAAGGCGTTGGACCCCGTCACGAACTTCCACGTCAGAAATGGTGCCAGTTTTGATCGAATCAACTGGCACGCAGATCTGTCCAAGAAGGTTCGTCGGTTTTTGAGTTTGAAGTACTCTTGTCTTTCTGTCTCCCTGCTTCTCATTTCGTTCTCATTTATTGTTTTGTATTGTGCTAAATAGAGACTTGCACAAAGTGCTGGCATGATGATTAACTACAAATACGAGTTGGCACACGTGGAGACAAACAACGAGAACTACTTACTGCACAATGTTATCCCGATTGGGTTACAGCCCCAGCAAGTGCTTAAGAGCACGCATCATTTAACCAAGAAGAAGGAGTGAGCCAACGCGGGACAAAAGCTTTTAATTTGTTAAAATCCAGTTATCCCTTTTTTTTCAGCGGGACTTAAGCTTTTAATTTGTTAAAATCCAGTTTTTCCATTTATTTTAGTTTCGTGAAGGGTCGTACGAACACACTGCTGCTGGTTTTGACGAATTAAACTCAGGATGGTGTTGGCACAAGATGAGATTGACGCTTGCCGAGAGGCATTCCTGGCCTTCGACAAGGATCGGTGAGATGGATATGCATGTAGATTGGTGTGCTACCGTAGATCTATAACGTGGGACTTATGCGATAAAAACAATTAGGAGTGGAACAATCGATGTCTGGGAGTTACGGCAAGTGCTCGAAGGTAGTGGATGTTTTACTTTTGAATATGATGAAGGTTTGAAGGTACTGTACCAACAATTCGGATTAGCGATGGGACAGCAGCCGACCGAGGAAGAGTTGTTTCAAATGATTAGCGAGGTTGACGAGGACATGAGCGGAGCAATTGGTACTTGTTATGCTTAGTTGAATGGATAGGTGTAAATGTGTTGGAATTGACATTGGCTGCTAGACTTTGCTGAGTTTCTGCAAGTCATCGACAACCAAAAAGATCGAGCCGCTATGTTCGAAGACGATAGCGACATGAGTACGTGGACCCTCTTGATTGGAAGCTAAACACTGCCAACGATAACTTTTTATACGCAGTTGATGCATTTGTTGCATGCGGTGGTAAATCAGACAAGACAGGGTTTGTGCGCAAAGAGACACTGGTGAAAATCATCAAGGGAGACTTCGGTCTTACTATCAATATTGAGGAAATGATCAACAAGCTGGATGTGGATGGCAGCGGAGAGATCGAATTTGACGAGTTCAAGGCCATTCTGACTTGAGAGGACAGGGCTGTTTCTTGCATAAAAATATGTTTCTTTAAGAATACAGTTGAATTTGCTCCCCCTCTATCGTACAGCTAACACCCGGGGAGCTCTGGGTATCGAAACTCCATGTATTGCGCTTCCTAATAATTGAAGTTATCCTCCAAGTCTCACTTAGCTAGGGTGCTTCGCTTTAAGCTGGGAGGACTGTCAAAACGATATAAAACATTTTTTCTTTACTACCCTAGTGCTGTAGTGCCCAGTACTAGCACTCTTTAAATGCAGTTTTCTTACTAACACCGTAGCTCAGCCGTCGAAATCTCTAAGGCTGAAATAGCTACTTTGTTGAGATTAAAGAGGGCGTGAAGGCTGCTTCTTCGGCGGGCAGGCCCGCTCCTCATACCGAATTACGGCTTATTAACTTTTTGGTAGGGAAGCTGATGGGCAAATTCTGTAGGCCACACTACCGGTATACACGTTTTACTGAATGTATCAACAACCCAGAAAACGAGCGTCATGTAAGCACTTGCACGCCTTCTGTTGAGTCCAATCGTAGTACGTACCCTTCAGCGTACTGATTAAAGCTCCGGAGGCTCAAAGGTGACCGTATGCATCCGTGACTCTGTCTTCGTCTGGCACACACTACACGAGATCGCCTCCCAACAAATAGCCAGAACAAGGCAGCCAATATCTAAATCTGAATCTTTATCCTGTGTTATGTTGTGATCTGAAAGTTGCTTGCGCTACAGACAACTTTTTGGAACGATTTATGTGTGTGAGGCTGCCCATACAGCTCTTCTACATACAGCTAGCTGTCCTCGTAGGATAAATATTCTCTGTAAAAGCTGGGACCTGGGACTTTGTGCTATTATCAAATATCCTTCTCACAAAACAATTGACAACTGTAATTAGCATCGTGACTCAGTTCTAACAAATATAATACTATGCAAAACAAAATGCTACTAAATATAATTACACTAGGGTACAAATGTTGCGTGCTCAACTCCAGACAACCCTCTCGGTATAGTCATAGCGCCGGGAGACCGCTTTTCTACTTCCATAAAATAAAAGGATTCCTATCGCAGGATGTACCATAAAAAGGGATCATACTTCCCTTCAAAAGGCTGTGGAGTGTATTAGCTTGTCAGGCGGGACACAAGGCTGTGGAGTGTATTAGCTTGTCAGGCGGGACACATGACTTCCGTGTTGTGAATTCAGTATGCTCTGCAAGCTGAAGCAGCACTCGCATTGGAGCAGCCTCCCACAGGAGAGACCCGGCAAGTGTCCCGTGAGTGAAGGTCGCTGGGGTTTCTCACGTTGTATTTACATTAAGTTAGCTCAGTCTCCATTTTGCAGGATAAGAAACGCGTAAGTGTCGAGAGACCTGAAGACTAAGTAGCTAATAGGAATTCGTGTGTGCATTGCATTGGATTCCTAGCTTACGTCGAGAAGTCTCTGCGTACGCGTAACAGGGTTATGAGCCCAAGCTGTCAGTAAGGACAGTTGTGAGCACTCTGAAGACCCAAGATGTCAAACATGGTTGAACTCAACAAGAACGGACGCCCTATCGGTTGGCATGGCCAATGCTAGGTGTAATACAAGCAAATGATGAAGATCGCGTTCGAGGACAAGAACGTTCTCGAGTACGCGAGTGGAACCAAGACGTTGGCCTCCAACGTGACGGACGAAGAGAAGTCGAAGTTCAAGGAGGGCTAAGTCAAGGTGAAGCAGATCATTATGTCCTCGCTGTCGATGGAGCTCGGACAGCAGGTCATGATGAAGAAGACCGGTACAGAAATGTGAAAATACTTGATGGATACGTTAGAGGGTACGGCGAACACGGCAACCCGTACGAACCAAGAGATCATTCTGTACAACAAGCTCCAAGCTGCTAAATGTAAGCCGAACTGGGATGTTCGTCTACATGTTAACAATATGTTTCTGACAAAGGAGCAGCTTGCTGCTATCAATGCTGATGTTAGAGATCCGATCTTCATAAACTTGTTGATTCGGTCTTTGCCAGCAACCCCACGATTTGATCGCCTGAGAGGAATGGTCGAAATCGGAACCAGTGAGATGGATACTCCTGAGAAACTCAAGGACCAGATCCTGCGAATGGACAGTTACAACAAGTGTGATAAAGAACTTGGAGTTACTGGTGGCAATGGTGCACACAACCAAGGGCAAGGACACGGTCAACGAGCAGGACATAATCAAAAGCATAGTTCTGGCATCGGTACGAAGACTGAGCTACCAGAAAAGGCGGCTGCTATCGCAACCAAGAAGTTGGATCAGCAGCAGAGCAACTGCTTCAGATGCCATCAACCAGGTCATCAGCAGAAAGATTGCCCAAAGACGTTGCTGGCGTCTACAAATGCGCCGAAGGCCAAACAAGCCACGTACACTAAGCGTCTCGAGAAAAGCGAGAGCCCCAAACAGTCAGTGGATCCTGTAGTGACAGAGCAAACTTCGCCAGTTTCGGCTCCGGACACTTCTGCGGTGCCTGTTCCTGTGACGACAGCTACCCCAGACATAGCGACCCCCACTGACCACGGACGGCATGGTAATAGTCCTAGCGGTAGTGATCAACGTGATCACTGTGCTGAGGAATATGCTAATTGGGAGTGGTGCCTGGATAACGCGGCAAATGTCCATGCAGCATCGGACCAACGCTACTTTACGGAATACAAACCATTCTCGGACCAATAGCAGACCGAGTACGCGGATTCCAGAAGAAGTTCGCGGCTGTTCCGCTTGGCCATGGAACGGCGAAGTTTAAGGTGAAAAACAGTGGACCTGTTGTGATCCTTACTCTTCGAGATGTATTCTTCGTTCCGGATAGCAAGAATCTGCTGTCACACTCGCAGGCTGAAGACCAAGGTTATGATATTGAGTTTCATGGACGAAAGGGCAAGAAAGTGTACGAGCTCTGGGAGAGGGATAAAAAGCTTCTAGAAGTGGGCCGTGACCCATTTGGACTGTACACATTTTCTGCTCGGAGCTCATTTCTTCCGGAGAACACCAGGGAGAATCAGAAGGTCGAGAGACAGACCTCCTCGTACCAGCCTCCGCACCGTGTGAGCATCACGGCTGCAGATGGCGCAGCTGATCTGCAGAGATGGCACGAACGACTGGGCCATCTGTGCCCACAGTTTGTCAAGATGATGGTCGACCATGATTTTGCTACTGGTATGATGCTGCGACAGCGTAGCTTCGCGGACTGCGAAGCATGCCACCTGGGGAAGCAGAGAAAACCTTCGCCCAAGCAGACGCTAGCGCGTGAGATCAGGCGGAAGAACCAAGTTTTCTTTGCAGACCTGTTATTTCCTCACCAGAGCTCAAGTGCCAAACTTCCCAAGGCTGTATTAGTTATAGTCGATGGCTATTCACGCTACACGACGGTCTACCCGCTAAAGTTGAAGACTGCCTCTGAGGTGAACACGGCCATGCGACACTATATTGTTTGGGCTGAGCGCCAGTTCAGCGAATGCAAGGTGCTGAAAGTGATCACGGACAGTGGCAAGGAGTTAGTCAACGGGGAGATGAATCAGTGGTACCAACAACAGGAGATAGCGTTTCTGCCAAACCCTCCCCATGGTTCGCATCTGAATCTTACCGAACGAGCAAATCAGACGTTGACACACATGATGAAGACAATGCTCACCATGGCAGGCTTGCCGAAGCGTCAGTTCTGGATGTACACGGAAAATATAGACGAAAAATCGTTTTTCACCATTTTTCTTCCAATCTCAAGCTCTTTCCAAATGAATTTTAGCCAATACAAAGCTGGTTAAAACGATTCGTTTGCGGTGCTTCTTGCCTCTATCCGACAACTGACACTCGAGATACAGCCCATTAACTGACTTCGACTTAGTGTGCAAAGCGCGAAACGATCGACGAAGTACTAAGTGATGCCTAGACGAGCGCTATTCAAGCAAAAATAATGGTTAAACTGGTTGATGTAGGTGAACTAGTACTTGGTTTTGAGCCCTTCGAGGCGGTAGACCTCCATGCAACGTTCTAACATCGATTGAACCACGTTTTCCAGAGTCGACACCGGAATGGCAGCCCACGCTTTCTTGATGGCCTTTACATGCTCCATCTTAGTGTCATACTGCTTTCCGTTCACGTATACTGCTCTAGCAAGGATACCCCACATGTTTTCAATAGGATTTAGGTCTGGTGACTTCGCAGGCCACCACATCACACGCACATCCAGGTTCTCCAAACACCATTTAGCTACTCTGGTCGTATGAATCGACGCATTATCGTGCTGAAATTCAAAATCCAAGCCGTGATAAAGGTGCGCAAACGAAAATAGGTAGTCACCCAATGTGTCAATGTACTTCTCTGCGTTCTGCTTGCCCTCCAGGAACGCCAACTCGGACTTACCTTTGACACTAAAGGCGCCCCAAACGAACACGCTGCCTCCACCGGACTGATGGTTCGAATAAATTTGCTTCTCTTTTCTTAGATCTCTCCAATAGTACTGGTATCAATCGAGTCCGTCTAAATTAAACTTTTTCTCATCTGAGAACACCACAGAGCTCCAGTTAAGGGCCATGCTCCACATGCTGTTCGGCCCACTTCAGTCTGTTCTTAATGTGCTTGGGTTTGAGCACTGGACATGCAATCCTCTTCTCATGCACCCTATTCTCTGAGTCGTGCAGCACTTCCTGTACCCTACGAACAGAGATAGGTAGCTGTAACGAATCTTTTAGAGCTCTAGCGCTTACACCAGTCTTAGATGCCTCACGAAGCAGTCGACGCTCGGCCGTAGGCGTCAGCTTCTACGGCCTGCCCGGACTGTTTTTCGTGCCGTACGTCTCTGGGTTGCTTAAAAAGCTGTGCACAACCTTCCACGAGCGACCGATGCGCTTCGCAATAGCATTTTCCTTTTGGTGTTCCTCCTTCAGCGCCAAAATTTGACCTTTCTCGAAGTCTGTCAGTGGTTTGCCTCGCCCCGTCTAAATAAACAAACGTTTTGGCAAATAAAAACGTGTAGAGGTTTGTCAATGCCCTCTCTCTGGTGTGCATTGAGCTGCACTCCCCCAGACCCCTTCAAAGCGATATAAATGTCTTCCTTACCACTTCGTCTATGTGTTCCGCGCTGCAGCTACGCAGCCAAAGGCAATTTTTTAAGAGAATCTCAAGTGTCAGTTGTCGGATAGAGGCAAGAAGCACCGCAAACGAATTGTTTTAACAAGCTTTTAATTGGCTAAAATTCATTTGGAAAGAGCTTGAAATTGGAAGAAAAAATGGTGAAAAACGATTTTTCGTCTATATTTTCCGCGTGCGCTGTATGCTTTGAAAATGGCTACATTAATTCGCAATCGGTCGTACTGTCAAGCTATCAAGGATACGCCGTATCGCTTGATGATGAACAAGAAACCTGATCTACATCGCCTGAAAAGATTCGGAGCAGTAGCCTACGTGCACCGGGCTAAAGACCAGTCGCGTCGAAAGCTAAATAGCAGCTGCCGTATTGGCTTTGTGGTCGGTTACCTAGAGGACCAACCAGGGTATGAGGTCTATTTCCCAACGGAGAAGGTGGTGCAGCACGTCCTGCATGCGTCTGTCAACGAGGAAATTCTCTACAAGGACCGGTATCAGGAAAGCTACCGCAACAACGTCAAGAACTGGATGTCATCGGTAGATGAAGAACAACGAAGAGGAGACGCACCAGGTAGTACGTACAGGAGCGCCATTGATGAACAGGGTGTGCTGCCGAGAAGGACAACAATTCGCCACCTGATTCGCCAAATTTGCCAGATGATGAGGAGATCGAGGAATTATCGCCTGCTGCGCACACTCACCATGACACTATTGAGTCACCGGAGAATGACCATAGTGGGACTAAGGAGTGGATGAGTATGCCGATGTATACTGCTTTCCCGAAATCGAGGGCAGATCAAGAAGTAAGTCGTGCTAGTGAAGATGAAACGATGTCACAGCCCCACGTCTCTTCTCAAATACCGGAAAAGACTCAAGATCTAACGGAAGTAACAGCTCAAGACGATGGTCAACAAGCTCAAGATCGTGTGAATGGAGATAATACCCCGGAGGAGAAGACTGAAGAGAGCGAAGATCTTAGCGGATCAGTCGAGCCTTTGACCGATGATCCTGCTAATAGTGATGATGAGGCCATAGAGGTGGAACCCTCGCCGTCATCTGAGCTAGAGAGCGAAATGTGCGAAGAGCCTCATGATACCGATGAACTCTTCGAACATGATGGTGATCCAGGTCAAGTTTCCAGTGAAGAATGCGAGAATCACAAGGGAGAAGGTAGTTCACCTGCCGAAAGTGATTGGACGCTGCATTCACCGTGGGGCAGACTGAATATCGTGGATGCCTACGACTGCGAGCATCTTGAGTGCTATGAAGCTCAGTACGCAACAGACCCTACTGAAGAGGATGCGGTAGATGTATTCGCACTGCGACGTTAATCTACGGGACTTCAAGAAGAAGTGGATAACCAGATCATTGCAGCTGATGCCGGCAACGGAATGGACACTGTGATGGAGCCGGAAGTACTTACTGGTAATCTACGTTCTTCGCTAGAAGCTGAACTGGAAGATGTGCAAGAGCCCAAGCGACTGAAAGACGCCGGAGGACAGCCCCAGCGAATGATCCTTCGATCGGAATCTGAGCGTCATGCTCCTTACCGTCTAGGAGACTACCATCTCTATGCAAGCTTTTGCAGAAGGGAATCAGTCAAACAATCAGATTTTGGACCTGAAGAAGATAGATGGCACATCAAAGATGTTAAGATACCTCGAAGCTTTCCAGAGGCTATGCGCTCGCCTCAAAGTCGTGAGTGGCTAGAGGGAATGGAGCGTGAGGTCAATGCAATGTTCAAGAAGGATGTTTTCGAGCTGATTGACGAGAGTGAGATGTCGAACGAGGCGCATCTACTGAGTACCATGTGGCGATTCCAAGCCAAAACGGATGATGAAGGAAATGCTACACGGTGGCGACCTCGCTTGGTCGGACGTGGTGACTTTCAGCAATTCGGAGTTGATTTTGAGTGGACATTCTCACCAGTGGCTCAGATGGTAACTTCCCGTGTAGTTGTGGCTATTGCAGCAAAACTAGGGCTCGATTTATACCAAGGTGATATCGATACGACATACTTGAACGCTGTTTTGAAGATAAAGCAGTACGTTCGTGGGATTCCTGGCTTCCCTTGCCCGAAAGGTCAAGTGTATCGAGTAAACCATGCCCTATACGGTCCTCATCAGTCTGGAGCAGAATGGTTCGAGAAAATCGACCGCTGGCTAAAATCGATGGGATTCGTGAGTACGCAGACGGAGCCGTGCCTATACGTATACTGCAAGGACGAATCGACTAAGATATCCTACAGAGTAGGCAATATCTGGCGGAGTGCTTGTAGCTAGGTACATCAGCGCTCCAATATCACCTCGATAATCGAAAGACGGCTCTTCATCTTGAACTCTCGTGCTTTGACTATACTTTGCTGTTATTTCCATCGGGGTCGCACTGCCGTGTGCACCATCAAATCCGAAGCGCTCCAGGATCTCGTTGCAGTACTTTTCTTGGTGAATGCGGATGCACTTGTCACTTTGCTCAACTTGCACTCCCAGAAACGAATGCAATTCACCTCCATCTTTGAATCCATTTTTCTCGTCAAATGCTGCGAACAGTGATTCCTTGAACTCCACAGAGTTTGTAGCGAGTACTACGTCGTCGACGTACAACGGAATCATTGCGAACACACCGTTGCCAACCCGACGCAAAAGCACTGTGGCGCAGTCAAGCGTATCTTACGCTACCTGGTGTTAACAAAGAATCTGGGTATTGTGTACTCTCTGGGTGACACTGGTGTTGATTCGATTGTGATAAGTGCCCACAGCGACTCAGACTGGGGGAATGACCCTGATTCCCGGAAGAGTATCACAGGGTTTGTGATGACGATTGCCGGTGGTGCAGTGGCTTGGGCAGCTCGAAGACAGACAACCGTCGCGCAGTCTACAGCTGAAGCTGAGTACGTCGCTGCTTGTGAAGCTGCGATGGAAGGTCGTGGAATCGTCAATATGCTGGACGAGGTGCTTCCTGTGATCAACGTTAGCACCAGTTTGGAGTTAGGCATGGACAACAACGCAGCCATTGCGTTGGCTACAGCTCCAGCGTATAATCGTCGTACCCGCCATATTGAACTTCGCTGGCATTATGTACGCGACCAGGTAATGAGGGATTTGATGGAGATCCACAAGGTCGCAGGCTTGGAGAACCCGGCGGACATGTTCACATAGCCATTGCCCAAGCGAAGTCTAGCGAAGTATCGTGAGAAAATCGGAATGACTGCCGAGCTGCAGCCAACTCACGATTGATGTTCCGACAAGTCGGAGGGGGCCGTGTTGTGAATTCAGCATGCTCTGCAAGTTGAAGCAGCACTCGCATTGGAGCAGCCTCCCACAGGAGAGGCCCGGCAAGTGTCCCGTGAGTGAAGGTCGCTGGGGTTTCTCACGTTGTATTTACATTTAGTTAGCTCAGTCTCCATTTTGCAGGATAAGAAACGCGTTAGTGTCGAGAGAGCTGAAGACTAAGTAGTTAATAGAGATTTGTGTGTGCATTACATTGGATTCCTAGCTTACGTCGATAAGTCTCTGCGTACGCGTAGCATTCCGTCTTCCACGTGTCAGCCAAAAGTTCATTCCGAGATCGATGGTGTGCGACGCTACTGTGTACGCGTACGGCAACGCTTCATAAGTCGGATGCAATTATATTTAGCGTAATCAATCCTCGTAAATAGTTTCACATAAATTATGCTGCTGTGATTGGTAAATCAAAGTGCTGCTATTTAGAAATATGTAGTGTTACAGCCCAACATGAGGAAAAACCTCGCGTTTCTAAATGGCAATTCAGCGATTACAGTGTTTTTTCAGCAAGCATACATTTATGCATAAAAAAGCAGAATAATCAGGTGATAGCGTTGAAACCAGTTTCATGTAATATTACAACAACAAAAACCGATTACTGCAAAAAGAAAGCTAATAAGCTCGTACGAAGACAAAAAGTCATTAATAAAGGCTCCGCTCTCAGCTTGCACTGACGTGCGTCGAATAATCACTCAGAGAAGTTGGTCTAATCCATGCATCGAGGTGCTACGGCAAGCCTATTTTAAGTACGAGTTTCTTTTGAGCAAATAATCATTCAATATTGAGCTCAAGTCGAAAAAGTGTCCTATCCTTTAGAAACTGGAAACTGGAAAAAGGCCAATAACGGAGTGGTTACCGCAACCTTAGGCCGAGAGAAGGGGTGGATACTGAAATCCCGGCAAAGCCAAACAATTTCTGCGGCTTACGATGCGTGTGCAGAGAACCCGGGCTTTAATCACGGACCAAGCATGGCCTCATCTAGCTCGGCATTGGGCTGTGTTACTGTTCTCTAGAAACTCTTGATGAAACGCTACATTTTTTTCATCTCGTCTCAAGCTCTCTGAAATTTATTTCAGCAGCACATTTGAAGGATTGAAAGCTTAAATTCAGATTTCAAACAGGTGTTTCTAAATCAACCAATCAGACCGTTTTTCACTCTGTATTATTTAATTGGCCGAATTCTAAAAAATATTACATTATGAGCGATACGAACGAGTCCAACTCGCCCCAGCAGCTATGGCCGTTCGGCTGCGACGGTCAAGACGACGACGTGGTCGCGACGGATGGCAAGACCTCGCCCACTATCAGCCGCTTGCTGGAGAGGGCTGAGGTGGATGCTGGGGAGTATTCTTTCGGTGGTCAGACCACACTTCTGCCCGCCCTCCCTGGACTTTTCATTGACGGGGTTGGGTCGGTCCCTGTGCCTTTGACTGATGAACGGAGAGACAATGTACTTGCAATCAGTGAACAAGTAACCGGCAGCTCCTGGAGGCTTCAGGCCAGTCGATTGACAAAGAAAAACCCAGAGTGGGCTAGTGGAATGCGGAAACTGGGTGATAAAGTGGGTGATAGACTGGGCTTTAAGAGGATTAAACTCCAGTGCGAGCTAAAGGAGCTGATTATCTATGGACCCGGTGAGAAAGTTGACAAGCATCAGGAGAGTAAAGAAGACGGAGAAGTGGCTACAATCGAGGTGCAGCTGCCGTCGGAACATGTCGGCGGAGTGTTGGTCGTCTACCGAGGACGAGAACTGCGATTTCGACATGATTTCGGGACTGCAAAGAACGTCGCTCCTTATTTACCGCATTACGCCGCGTACTTTGCCGACGCTCCACATGCTAGAGAAGAAGTGACGAGTGGGTTTCAGCTGATGTTGAAGTATTCGCTGTCGTTACCGAAAGAGATGCAACACTTGAAAGATGCCAAGGGAGATAAACCACTGAGTGAAGAACTGGCAGAAGTGTTGAAGCTGATTGAGCCAGAGGACGAGTGTTTTGCTTTACTATTGGAAGGTCAGTACAAGGAAGAAGACATTCAGAGTCGAGGTGCTGAGGCACTTGGCGACATGGACAACACCAGATACCGAACTCTACTGGAGGCCAATAATTTGATCCCCAAAGATAAGGCACTGGTGTTTCACATCGCACAACTTACTCACGCTGTTCAGCATTATGACAGTACGTTTGGCGCACACAAGAATCCGAACTGGAAGGCAAAACATGCTCGCTGGCAGGACTACGATCGAGAAGACTCGGTGACATGGTACGGTATTGACGGAAAGAAATACGGTGACGCCGTCAGAACGATGTACGTCAACGAGATCGAAGGTCCTAGTAAGAAAGAGGCAGACCCTCCAAGTCTCACACCGACATTCTTGAACCCTGGGAGATTGACGATATCTGAGCTTTGGAAAGCCGAGGGCTATAAACTCTACGATGGTTATTCCGGTGATCAGATGAAAGGAACGACAGCTCACAGATATGCAGTCTTTGCCTGGCCTGTTACCAAGAACTTCGAGTATACTTTCAAGCTCGCCAACATCGAGGCAGCAGCCGCTGTCCTCCAAACCCAGGAGGACGTTGATGCGAGTACTCTTCGAGAGTTTATCGAACGGGCAAGTGAAAAGGTAGCTCACATAAAGAAACGTGGCTCTTCTGGACGCCGGTATAACCACGAGGATCCAAAGCCAGACAATTTGAGCTTTTGCCGGATGATGACCGAGTTCATTGTGAAGTCTGGCGATGCCTCATTGGTTGGCTTGTTGCTGGAGAAATTCATTAATGGAGTGAAACAGAAAGGCATGTTTGCTGACGGCATCAAATCCTTGATCGAGGCTTTCGACTGGGATAGCGTAAAAGACGCAGTTTTAAACGCATTGGTGACGTCGACACAGAAGTATTCCAGCAGCTGGGATGCCAGTGAGGACATTGCAGTGCTCTTACACGTGCTGCAACGTCTGAAAAGTGGTGACGCCCAGAGAGCGCTTCTAGAAGAGGCAGTGAAGAAAGCCATCAACACGCCTCCTGAACAAGTGGTGGACATGCGTTGCTGGAGCTTGCTCTTAAAACAAAACATTGAGTACGGAGATGTGGCTATTCTCACGCGTCTAGTGGATCATTTAAAGACAACTGAGCCAAGCAATTTAGATGCCGCTATCAAGGCAGTCTCGGTACATGCAGCTGCTCTCAATCCTGACGATGAAAAGTTCCAATTGTTCGCGTCGATGATCGAACCACGCTTGGAGTGGCTGAACCAGCAGCTTGACATGTTGGACAAACCATTCTCTTGGGAGATGCCGGAAGCGTTTTTCAGTGACAGCGCACGTGTTCAAGCCTTTCTTCGAGGCTCGGAAGTTGCTATGACTACTCGAGGTGTGGTTTACTTTCGAAATCTAAGGCACGCTCAACGGTGGACGCGTCACAGTCAAGACAACGCGTCGTTCGAGATGACAGCTGAAGGAAATGGCCGTGACGCGTTTGTTACGATCACCAAGACGCGTCGTCTTTATGAGCAGCAATACGCACGAGTGACAAAGCTGAAAGAGGAAAGACAACAACTGCTTACCAAACGATTCATGGCCCCGGTTAAGGTAGGTACAAAACGCCGTCGCGAAGAAGACGATGAAGACGCTAGCATGGATTAATTGCTGCTGGAGCCTCAACGTTTTTTTTTTTTTAAAAAAAAAACGTTGAGTCTCCTTGTTTCTGATAAAAAGGACGATAGAAGTTAGCTGAAAAAATGTATTTGTTTCTCATTGATGTTCTCAGTTTTGTGCCACCAAAAACTTCAAAAAGTAAAAAAACCAAGGTGTATTAAAGATCACTTGAAATACCAGTCTGGATGTAGCCCTCGCGAGCGGTGTATGCTTCCAAATTGAACACATTGACATGTACTCGAACGCATCAAATGTGTTGGAGAAGGCGCACAAAGGCCAATCCGCCGCGACAGTGCGATGCAACTTTCAAAGTCTGTTGTATAGTAGCCGTCTACGAGACGGAGCTGAGTCAAGCGAAATATCGAAACATGAAGCGGATCAGATGGAGTAGTGATCAGTAAAGGTTTTTGTTATAGTATTGTTTCTTTAAGCGTACTTGCATTGTACCCAAAGGTAGTGGTTTTACCAACCAGACCTGTACTTACCACCCCGAGTGGAAGTCTGTTCTGTAGCCATTCGGATCCTTCACGTGAAGCAACTGTTAAACTTTCTTTGTGTGCAATGAAGCAGGGGCGAAGCGTTGAGCTGAGCATTTTTTTTTTTCTTAGTTGGTCCCACTTCTTCTTAGCTTTGCTAACTACGATTCGTAGTCTACGAAGTCTGGATATGAGAAGTAGTTTCATTCGTGGCGAGCGCGTTTCATATCACCACGATCCATTTTCTCGCCGAAGCGTTCCATCAATCCAGCCACTTCCGCTTTGTACTGCTCCAACTTCTTTTGACGGTCATCAAACCATTTCCGCGTTTTAGTAATCTTCAAATACGCCTCCTTGTCAGAGCCTACAGCCTCCATTGTAAAAGAAGCATCATCTCGGTCCTCATTATTACCTTCCACTGCATAATCCTGGGCTTGTTTAAGATCATCGAAGCCGAACGCGTTCTTAGTGTCCATTTCCTCTTCTGGTCCTTTTAAAAACTTCTCAATTTCCGGAGATTCGCAAAACTTGCCATCCGGCATCTCCCACGTGAACGACTTACTCATCCCAGGAATCTGGCTATCCAGCCACTCGATTCGCTTGGGCATCTGAGCATTAACCAGCTCATACAGCTCCCCAGTCTTATCCTCATCGGCGAAGAGCTTCGATATTCCTTCTATAACAGAACCAAGTAGACTTGGATCCATCTTCATGAGCTTGTCAGAGTACGCCTTAAATTTACTGGGGTCGCTGGATCGACGAGACCATTTGCAGAGTAGAGGGACCACCTTCGGCGCGCAGAACAGCTCGTCTTTTAACTTCATTGCTTTCTCCAAAACCATTTCCAGCAATGCTGTCTGCGCCTCTCCGTCGTCCAACGCATCGATCACTCGTAAAGTTAGCTCGACCTCAGAAAGCTTATCGCGCTTGATCGTGGTTGATGAACTCCGCAGCGCCTTGCTCAAAGAAGCGAGGACAGCCGTTCCGATCTTGCTCCAGTCGTATTTTTGTATGATCGCCACTAGAAGAGGAATTAGCGTCTCGTTCTCTTCAATGTCACCCAATTTTGGACACAGCTTCGTAAAGAAAAAGCTCACCAGATCGGAATCACCAGCTTCCAGCACCAGCTCGCAGAATAGCAGGCAGAACTCGATGGAGAACCCGTAAGGCGAACTATAATCCACCTCAGTCTTAAAGCGCTTGTCGACTTGATTCAAAAACACCCGAAGTGTTGACGCATCAAATGGCTTACGAGCATTAAGAGCCTTGCATGCAAGATCCATCGGCAAGAACTCGAGCGCATTTTCGGCGTGGCGACTTTCCGGCCAAGCCACAATAGCGAATCTAGAGTACTTTGTCGAACTAGACGGACCTTCGTTACCCGTGTAAGCATGGAGTTCCTTAACACCGTGAGGCATCCAAAGTTGAGTCAGAGTTTCTCTAGCTGGATTGAGAAAATTAAGTGTCGCCTCAGTTTTCTCCACTTTTTGAATGGAGTCGTCTGGGTCCGGACGATAATTGTACCAGGCGATGGATTGTTCACGCTCCTCTTCGAACCAACCAGCTTCGTCATAATGCTCCGCAAACAACACGTAGTGAGTTAGCTCCACGATGTAGAATTTCAACTTCTTGTCGGGGGCAACAAGAGCGTTTGCTTCTTCCAAGGCACCGAATCTGACACGATCCACGCCTTTCAGCGCCTCACATCCAAACTCTTCGATACTCTTCTCGGTATATTCATGGGACAGCAGTAACGCGAAAGACTCGTCTCCATCAGATACCATACCGATAGCACCCACAAGATCGTCACTAAGAGGCTTGTCGAATACTCGTTTCAACTGGCACCGATCCTTCGGTAAGCAGATCGAGTAAACCAACGCCAGACGAAATCCCTTAGTCACCGTCTCCAGAGCGTGCTCAGCGTCCGCGTAGTGTACAGCATAGTGTGGTAGGAATGCTACTGTTCCATCTGCCTTGCCGAAATCGTGGCGATGTTTCACTTCCCCATTGGAATAAATCACCAAATCGCCTCCCTCATGTAGCGAAGGCAACTGAACAACCAGCGTCGCGATCATACCGTCTTCTTTTTCGGTATCTTGATGCTTGAAAAAGTGACCTCCTTCTTCGTACACAAGCAGCTTGTACAGCACGCACTGCAGTGGAACTCCACTATATCCCAAGCGTTCAGTGATCGTACGAGTTAGTTGGTGGAGGCCACTTTCCCAAAGCGGATTCTTGAACTCCACCTGACTAGGCTCCAGTTGCCAGCTCTTACGAACGTTGTCGTCCATCTTCGTGTCGAAATTGTGACCAAACGGTGACTTCTCGCACTTCTCAATCAATTTTGTAGCGTCGTGTTCCTGAAACGGAACGGAGATCGTCCCGACATCGTTGATGCATATTCCTGGTACGGCTGGCAGCGAATCGGCCTTTCCTCCGAAAGAATACTCTCCAACTTCTTTGTCAGCGCGTCCAAGCACTTCGCTTATTCTGACGCACCCATCGCCAGAAGGAATGGGCACAGTGTCGGGTGTGCCTTCACCTCCAAAAGGCCATTTACCTTTTTCAAAGTCTTTTTCTTGCTCGCGTTGTGGTGGTCCCCCCGACGCGGCCATGCGTAGTAGGGACTCCATACCGAAACCCCCCATTCCGAGCCCCCTGAAGTTCATCGTCGCTGTCAGTGCGTCGTGTCCGCAAAAATGAAGAATGAAGAATGAGGTTTGGCTTCTGAGGGGATCGATTTCCATCAAAATGCGACGGAATGTTCCAATATAAATCCTGGATTCTAACATTTAGAGGCAGCATTTCAATTAATCAAAAAGTAATTTCTTTCAGAGCACATGAACAATAAACGGAGCGATTTTCTTGCCAACTGCGAGTACTTAAAGTAAACCAGATCTTGAGTAGTCATTGCAATTTAATGACCTCGAAGAAATGTTTGCACACGTTTATTGTCAATAAAAAGCGCTTCGGCATCTCCCACGAGAACGGTTTGTCCAGCTTGTTAAGTTGCTGGTCCAGCCACTCCAAACGTTCCTCAGCTATCGACGCTAACGATGTAAACTTTTCATCCTTAGAATTCAGAGCTGCGGCTTGTTCTGAGAACAAAGCGATAATATAACCAAAACGCATGGCGGCGCCATCTTGAAATGGTCCACCAGACGAGTAATAATGGCAAGATCTCCGCACTTAACATTCAATTCTAAGAGCATGTTTCGAAGTCGTAATAGCATGAGTCCCCTGGAGGGATGCTAACGGCTTTCTCCATTGCCTTCTCTAAAGACGCAGTCTGCGCTTGACCACGTTTTAAAAATTCTATCGCATTTAAAGTCAATCCAATGTCTCGGTCTGCTGCCCAATTGTAGTTGAAGTCGTCCTTTAGTAAGCGTCAAAGCGCTGACCACACATCTTCCCACTCAAAGGCCTCGATCAGGGATCGAATACCGGCTGTAAACGCTTTGTCACTATTGAAGAACTTCTTTAGGAATACACCGACCAGTGTAGCATCGCCAGCTTTGACCATCAAGTCGACTGTCGTTTCCCAAAAGGGTGAACTACCCGACGACGAGTCCTTGGAGCTATACCGCTGAGGATGACGTGTCTTTGCTGGCTGTCGCGTTGAAGAAACTCTTGGATTGTAGTTGCATCAACGGGCTGTTGGACTTGGAGAACAGCGACCTCTGCCTCGCTATTTACGAACTTAAAAGCATACTCGACGTTCTTAGAAGCAGGCAATGACTGCATATCGACAAGTTTCCATCCCTTCCATCCGATCTTCGTTGTCGCCTTCGTAAATTTCCCACATCTGTGGCAGCGTCAGTCTCTTTGGATTCAAGAACGTTGGTGTGAAGCTTGGAGGGTCCGCTTTGTCCTCCCTGGAACCATTGATGGCACTCATATACAGTGTTCTAATAGCGTATCCGTGCTTCATTCCGTCAATAGAGTACCGTGTAATCGAGTGCTCTCGATCGTATTCCTACCGGATAGCACCCTTCTCCTTCCAGTGGGGACTTCTGTGTGCACTACATCGGCCATCTTAGTACTGAACAGCGTGATCAAGTTGTGCGATATAAAACACCAGTGCCTTATCGTTGGGGATCAAATTTTCAGCCTTCGAGTCCGGTACCTAGTGTTGTCCATGACGCTAAGTGCCTCTGCACCTCGACTCTGAATGTCTTCTTCCTTGTACTAACCCTCGAATAGTAAAGCAAAACCAAACTACATTCCTCTACCGGACGCTCGTCTCTACTCGTGATCACTAGTGTGGCGCTGTTGCTTACGCTCGCGCTCGTGGTACACCAAGATTCATCACTATCAAGTTTGAAGAACCTCAAAGGCACCACGAATAACAATTTCGAGAGACCCCACGACGATTTCTTCTGCGGGATTACGAATCATGAGACGGGCTACATTAAATTGCCGAACAAAGATGGCGACCATTATTTCTACTGGTTCGTAGAGTCCCGCAGTGATCCTCAACAGGATCCGTTGGTTCTCTGGTTAACCGGAGGACCTGGCTGCTCCAGTATGATGGCACTCTTGGCCGAGAATGGTCCTTGCCACGTACAGTCGGATCTGTCCACCAAGACCAATCCATACTCATGGAACGGACAAGCCAATGTGATTTGGCTAGACCAACCCACCGGAGTCGGATACTCTTACGGCCCTACCGTGGACTACGACTCCGGAGAGCACAACGTGGCTGAGAGCATCTATTGGTTCTTGCAAAAATTCCTAAAAAAGCATCCACATCTGGCTGACCGGGAGTTCTTCGTAACTGGGGAAAGCTACGGGGGACACTACGTCCCTGCAGCTGCATGTTCAAGTACTGGTCAATATGTTCAAAATGGAAACACTTCATGACGTTCTCTTCAGTACACGGCTCTCGGATATCGTACGGGTTACGTCCAGACTGGTAGTATGGTCCTTCCAGTGCTTCAGAGCAGAACTCCATGGCGTCAACACACCTCGGACGGTCTTTTTGACACTGTATGATCAGTTCGTGACACACAGGCTGTGCCTTCCGCATATCCTCAACAGCTTGTTCGTTCAGCAGCGACACGTTGTACGAGTTGAACGCCATGTCCACACTGTGTAGGTACTGCACTGCCGGGTCGGTCAGGCCGTTTCCGACCGCAATACCGGCTAAGTTAATGTGTACGGCGTCCGGCCTTAAGTGTCGGAGCATATTGGCTTTAAGTATATAACTAGCAGCCAAGCGTGTTGGACAAACTTGGTGTTGACGTACACAAGTCGAAACCGTGGCTTCGCATTTGATGAAATGCTGTCGTCTGCTGACGATGTTAAGCTTCTACTAGATGCGGGGGTGAGAGTACTGATTTACGCTGGTGATGCCGATCTCATGTGCAATTGGGTGGGCAACCAAGCGTGGGTTATGGAACTGGATTGGACCGGTAAAGCGAAGTTTAACAATGCTCCTAACCATCCGTTTGTTACGGCGGAAGACACGGATGCTGGTCGTGTTCGGTCGTTTGAGAATTTGGCCTTTATTCGTGTCTTTAATTCTGGCCACATGGTGCCGATGGATCAACCGGCGGTGTCTTACGAGATGATCAACAAGTTTTTCCAGAACGAGGACTTCTGATCGGAATAAAGACGTGAAAATACCAGGAGTTCTGTTAATACTTATACAAACTTGGATAAGCTTGATAAGTCGAGGGTTTTTACCACAGTTTTCGAGCTCTCATTTTTAATACTTCAGGTATCTCAAAAGAGATATCGTAAACAAATTAAAAAAAGGAATACTACTCAAGACGAACGCGCTTCTCGTCGCCACCATTGGTGTCTCCTTCGCAGTGTCCTTCGCAGTGTTCCTGCAGCCGGTTTAGCTCTGCTTTGTATGCCAGTAATCTGCGCTGACGTTCCTCAAACCATTTGCGCGTTTTCGTGATAGTCACAACAGCATCAGCATTCATCGAACTTGCTTCCGTCTCGAACGAGGCATTCACTTGGTCTTCGCGTGTCCATTTAGCTGCATAATTGTTAGCATCTTGGAAGCTCTTGAATTTCTGCATTCCCTTCGTCACCTTCATGATAAAATCAGGACCACGTAAAAACGCCTCCACTTTCGGGTTTTCCGCAAATTTGGCGTCTGGCATTTTCCACGAAAAAGGTTTGTCCAGCAACTCAATTTGCCCCGTCAGCCACTGTATCCGTTTAGGGAGAATGGCTACGAGGTCCACAAGAGAACCATTGCTAGTTGTGCTAATACTACCCAAGAACGGAAGAGACTGCTCAACGACTGGACCCAGAAGACTTGGGTCGATTTCGCTAAACATCGCCACGTAAACTCTACCGCCTCGGATTGCCCATTTTACAAAAATCCAAGCAGCTTTCGAGGAGAATAATTTATCTTGTCTCACCAGACAAACTGCCTTCTGAAGCAGGGCATCTTGGGCAGCCCCTGTCTCCAACCCATCAGCGACTCGAAGTGCCATTTCCATCTCGTTCCAGCAGCCAAAACGGTGAAGCAGCTCAGAACCATAGTCGTTCCAGTCGAGCGTTCGCACAATCTTGGTGATTGCAGGGACAAGTAGATGGTTATTTTCCAGTCGCCCAAAAGGAGGGGCAAACACTGGAATTGAAGACTTCAAGCACGAGCTTTTCGAGCTAGCGTCTTTGAAAAATTGTTTCACGAGCTCAGAGTTACCGGCATCCACGAGCATTTCGCAGATTAAGCGGCAAGATTTAACGGACAGCTCATCTCGGTTGTAATTTGTTCCGATAGCATCAAGCTTTGCACCGATATCGCACAGTAACTTCCTCAGTGTTTCACCATCAATAGACTTACGAGCGTAGACAGCTTCAATAGCCGCATCGACTGGCATAAATGCCATCGCTTTTTCTTCGTGCTGAGCTGCAGGCCACGCAACGATCGCATACGGGGCATATTCGGTAGTTCTTCTTCTGTGTTTGTCTTCAATGGAGACTGCGTACCGTCCCCACAAGTGGCCGAGTGTTTCCCGAGTTGGGTTGAGAAAGTTCAAGGGCAAAGTCGACTTTGATACATTTCCTAAACACTCACCGCTGGTATCGTACCAGCGCATAGACTCGCTGTGCGTACCTTGTCGATCAAAAATATCTTCAGCTTTATGACAGAGTTGGTGTGTCAAGCGAACAAGAAAAAATTTCAGTTTCCGGTCGGCCGGAACAAACGTATTGGCTTCTTCCAGAGCGTGAACTATCACATTGTCAATGCCTGTTAGCGCCTTAATACCCAGTCGCTTCATATTGTTGCTTGTGTTCTCATGGGACAGTAGCAGCGCAAAAAAATCATCCTCGAGATCCATACTTATGATAGCACTAGCCAGGTCTTCGCTCAAAGGCACATCGTGACTCTTCTCACGGTGACGCATTGTCACAGGTAAATGAAGCGAGTAAAGCAGCGCGAGTCGATACCCTTTCGTCACTTTCTCCACTGTATGCTCGGCATCAGGGTAGTGAATCGCATAGTGAGGAAGGAAGGCAGCGGTTCCCTCAGACTTTCCAAAATCATGGCGTTTCTTCATCTCTCCACCGCGACGAATGACCAAATCGCCTCCTTCAACAACACTAGGCAGTTGAATCACTAGTGTGGCAATCGCGTCATCCTCCCTTTCCGTACTCAGGTTTCTCACAAAATGACCTTGTTCTCCCGAGATTTGCAACTTGTACAACTTACTCTCAAGTGTAATGTCTGGATAGCCCAAGCGGTCTGCAATGGTCGCGGTTAGAGCAGCAATACCATCTTGCCACATCATGTTGTCAAAGCTCAATTGGGCGGACTGAACATTTTCGTCCTTCTTGACGTCCAAGTTGTCACCGGAGGAAGCCTTTTCACATACAGACATGAGCTTTTGAGCTCGCTCTTCGGTAATTGGTACGGGAATTGACCCCACTCCATCGACCGCTAATCCGAGTGCTGCTGGCAAAGGCTTGGCTTGTCCTCCAAACGAGTATTCGCCCACTTGCTCGTCTGCTCGACCTAATATCTTGCTGATTTGAACGATAGCGTTGCCTGACGGAACTGGAACATCTTTCGACTCCCCTGCGTATCCAAAGGGCCACGCCCCATCTTTGAAGTGCCTGTCCATCTTGTTCTCAAAATGATAATGAACTGAAAATATACAGACCCGAAAATGTGATAGAGAGGGACCGACAAGGCATTCTTCGAACATCACTCCGAATCACTAACCGAATATTCTAATGAATTGCGACGCTAAAAACGGGGATTTCAGCGATTTTTTCCGGTCAACCGTCCTCACTTTCGGATTTGGGGAAAATGCGGCGTACGTCGGGAAACATGGCCAAAGTGTAAAAATATTTTGCAGAGACGATTGGCGTTTTAGTACGTCGCAAAATGAAAAATATTGTAAATTCTTAATATAAAAAAATCAAAAGCTACATTATTTCTTTTACGAAATGCTCTCAAAGTCATTTTTAGATTCTGTAAAATTCGAAAGGCGCTCTACCAGCCCAATTCTCTAGATTTTGTGCAAGCAAAAAGGTCAAGTATCCTAGAAGCAATGTATGTATTAAGGTCAACAACGTTGGCAAGTTGTCAAAAGGCGGCGAAACACCCTGGAAACTACGTGTTCACTTGCTTTTGAACAGATTGCCGTCTGTTGGACTCTCTTGAAGATCGATACGAAGTTTCCCCATTGCCACCAAAATATTCGTTCATCCAATCCAATCGTCCCTCTTTCAACTTGGACCAGTGTGTGTGTATAACCTGATCTGCAACGAGCACTACTGGAACTTCATTCAGCATCCTGCTCGTGTGGATCAGCTCATACGTTGTCACCGTCATGTTGAAAAAGTTGAGAAATTGAATCGGTAAAATACGAGCAACAAGAAATAGAGGAAGGTCTCGATACCGGAAGAGAATCGAAGTCGCCAGAACAAATCCACTCGCCTCCAGTTGAGCTCGCGTGGAGAGCAGTGCATCACCTGGCGACAGTTGCACATACACTTCCGTGCTGTTATCATAGAGAGACGTACTCCGTGACCGATCATCCAAAAAACGCGTGAAGGAGTTAACTTCGGGTGGCACTGCGTCGGAGTTTGGAGTTCCGATATTGTAGGACTTCTTAGTACCTACTCCAATCTTTGGAGATTTGCGAACTAAGGTTTGTAACATAGCGTGAGCAGTCAATCCAATAAAAGTCGCTCCGGCTATGACGATAACAAGTACAACGGTGTAAATGCCCAGTGATACTTCCTTGGCGCAAACAGCAGAGCCACGACAACCTGAATACTTAGTAACGTCACTTGCTGATACCGAGGTCATACCCGTCGCTAGTAACTTTCGAGTAGAAGCAGATACAGAGCTTGATCGGCTGATCGCAAAGAGGACAATCGACGAGAGGAATCCCACTACGTGCGCGAAACTCGGTTCCATCTCTTGCATCTTTAGATCACCAGCACGAGCAAAAACAATATTAATCGCGAGTACTACTACCAGCGTTCCACATCCGAAGGCGCGGAGTACAGCTTCGTTCGTATCAGCTCCGACCAACAAATCGATCGTCAGTTGTTTACGCCATTGGATCATTCCCAAGACCATTTGAGCGACCAGAATGAAGTTATAGCTACTGCGAACTACCTTTGCAATGGTACAACTCGTCGTGGCATTCATGACTCGTGACCATGGAGATACGAAGGCACATTTCATATTGTACCATCCACGCATACTTGTCAAGAACGCAGTCACCACGAGTGCCAAGATCTGCAGACTGATCACTAGTCGAATACTGTACGTGCTGTCCACTGTCACTTCGTTCACCTTGTGGTTCACAAAGTTTTGACGCAGCACCTCACCAGTTGCTGCCTTTTCGACTGTCCACTCAGATAGCCACATCTGTGTGAATAGCAAGGAGCTGCACTCACCAGACAAGCTACACTGAATCATTCGCCACGGTGCTGGGAACGAGTACGTACGTTGTGCTCCATCAGTATTTAAATTAGCCACTGCGCCTGACGTGCCAAGAGCTGAATAGGCACACCCAAACTGATCGCGTTCTCCACCGTATAGACTAAATTCGTCACAGGTTTCTGGGACTACCAATTGCTTTGAGTACACTGACACCAGACGGAGGTACTGAGAGTTACGTTGGGTCTCTACGTTCCTCGCCTTACGGGTGGCTTCGTAGCATGAGCTCTTCACAGGGTTCAAATTTGCTCCGACCAGAGATGTGATCAACATGGCACCAGAGGATCGGGATGGATTGAGCTCACCCATTGAGTCGGGGACGTAAAACTCGGTCGATTGCAGACGAATACGAATGTGAGAGTCACTTGTCTCCAGACACGACCCGTCCACACCAAACACCGGGGAGTCCGCAGCGCTTAGTAGAGCTTCAATCTGTATGGCGCCTTCATCATCTACACCTCCAAAGCAGACACTCTTGTCAGCTGGAAGACCGAGGATGTCCGAGGATACCGACAGCATTGCTTCTCGGCCCTCGGTCGTTTTGTTCACCACAAAAGCACGAACTTGCTCAAATATTTGCTGAGGTACCGCACGCACGAGATCGGTCGTTGGCTTTGGTGTAGCTCCATTGAAGAGCACCGTTTGAAGTTCATTGCAGTCCAGTAGACGGGGTGCGAGTACTTGATAATGGTCATTTTCAAAGGCAAAATACGACAGTTGCTCGTATCGATCTCCGTGTCCGTCTCCAAAGACACTTTGAGGCACAAGGATTACTTGTAGGGCAAGTGGCCAGAGCCCCATGGCAGCGATGGATACAAGTGCTAGCTGACGCAGCCTCCCACACACCATGAAGACGGTATGGTACCGCTTAGAGCTCAAGTCGACCTTTTTGGGCGTGAGGTTATCCTCCGGCGCGATCTCTTCGTGTTGGCTCACCTCCCCCATCGTGTCGATTGCGTGCTGAAAGGTGATCTATTAAGTGTTGCATGTACTGTGCTGTATTGGTCGTCAGCTATAAATATCAGCCGAGAATGGGATCTAGGCGTAACGTCAGTTGGCTGCAGCACAATGTATTGTTAGGCTATAAAATTGTATTAATAGCTCACAGGTCAGTATTATAAACTTCGATTAGCAGTGCTGTAAGTATGCGGCACAGTACTAATACTTTTTAAAGTCTTGAAAAAAAGGGGAGGGGCCTCTATTGGAGAAAAGAAGATTTATCCAAAGACGAAAGAACAGAGTGAAACCTTTGAGTAGTTATTTTGCTGCTGCTTATTCTGATGTGCCATCGTAACACCATAAGGTAATTATGCCCCCCCCCTTCCACAGATTTTATGCCGGCATGCCTAAGTACTTATGCCGTGTTTCAGAGGGAAGCTCCGTATTTCCACGAAAAAAACTCGAATGAAACTAAAATTACTAATAACAATAGCCACGAGTGTCTTGGCCTGTTTCAGAAACAGCATTTTAGCTTCAATGGTAACGTCTAACTAAATCCCTCTGTACCAGTGAAGTTACCCAGGCCTGAGTGATGGCTGAAATTACAGGCTATGCACGTTTAGAGAAGATTACTCTCTATTTTGGGAGCGACAATCCAATGTAGATCTTATAAGACAGGCGTATCAAGTGCTGAAGTAAATTTATTTAGTTTTGCTCTGAAAACGGTAGTTTGGGATCTGAGTATAAGAAGTTAGAGTAGTTTTGGGTCAGAATGACGCGCCTCCGGATATAAAATCCAGAGAATATTGATGACTGGTCAGATTCAGCCTGTCATCTTCAACACCCAGTAATGTGTGAAACATTGACAAAACGTTCGTTTTTCTTCTTTATCAGTGAATTCCGCTTGAAGTTAAGGAGAACTTTCAAGAATTGGGCAAAACCTTCACTCACACTAGATTGGTATATGCACCAACTACTCTAGAGTGATATGAAATCGGCGCCAACGCAGCTTGCACAAGTGTTTCAATAATGTTTAATGCTATCCAATTTTAGCGAGCATTATTTGTTGCCACTACAATAAAAATAGTCCAGAACTTCACCGTGTACAACACATCATTAGTTCTCCAGTGACGAAAAAAACTAAAATGTTTATTACGAAAGTTATATTTTTGATTTTTCGCTTTCCTGCTCGGGGATTTGTAAAATGCCTGAAACTACTACGTCATGACAGAACACGATTTCAGTATTGATGGATGGATGCACGACAAACATCAAAAATAGTCACTTATCTTCTTAAATCGAAACACATACATCACTTTCGAATCATTAGTAGGCATACATTTGTTTGGTATGAAGCACTGATACCTTTTCTATTTTCGAACAGTTTGAAAAATGCAAGCAGGTGCGCGTGTCGACATGAAGTGGCCTTTTGGAGGTGAAGGGTTTGCCATGGACGCTCTTATTCCCTCGGGTGCTGCTATTGCTCAAATCAGTGAGCTGTTGGGTCAAACGGAAGGGAAAGCGGGTGAATATTCGTTTGGAGGACAAGCTTAAGAGCTACCACCGGCACCGGGGCTAGTTGTGGATGGTGTAGGATCAATTCCTGTCCCAATTACTGTGGAACTAGCGTAGAAGCTAATGTCCGTGTGTGAAAAGTGTCCCCCTCATTACAACTTCGAAGCCGGGGCGGATGAACATATGCAGGGAGCCTGGCAGCTCCAGCCGACGCAATTACGTTTCGAAAACATGGCTTGGCAAAGCGGAATCGAGACAATTACAACAATGATAACAGACCGTTTGGGCTATCAAGACCTTACACTTCAATGCAAGCTGGAAAAGTTACTCATCTCTGACGATGGACATGCTGCAAATCTCCAGGATGTAGGCAAAGCCGATGGTAACATCGCGACGTTAGTCATTTAACTGCCGAGTTCACATGAAGGGGGTGACATGGTGATCTAGCAGAGTGGGGTCATGAAGAAACGCCATAGTTTTGGCAAGTCTGAAGGCACGGCTGCATTCCTTCCTCATTATGCGGTTTGTTATCTTGATACTCAATGCACAATGGAGAAAGTTACGAAAGGGTATCAAGTAGTATTGGTTCACTCACTTTGTCTGCCAAAGGCAATGCACCACCGCGAGAAAATTCACGATGTGCCTTTGAGTGCTACTGCTATCACGAAAATGGATACAGAGGACGATTCTTTCGCGTTATTCTTGACTCACGATTACACTGATCAAAACATCGAGAGTCTGGGCGTTGGAGCCTTCAAACGGTGTTGACAGTGTGCGTTTCCACGCCCTCGAAGAAGCCAATACATTCGTTCCTGCCGACCACAAGTTAAGGTTCTCGATTGCTCGGTTGATATACCAAGCAGCTCCCTCCGATCGCAGTGAGTCGATCTACTGGTACGATATCAGTGGTGAGGGTCTGGGGTGCGTTATGCACTCCCCAATGTTATTAAATATTCTAAACCCAGATCAGAAAACACTCGATCAGTTATGGACGGCCTCCTGGAAAAAAACAAAGGTGAACAAGGACAAGAGGGCCAGCACATCCAATACGCGATTATTGCATGGCCCTCTGACGTGGCTGACGGAACAATGTGAATTACTGGATACACCATTTTCTTGGGAGATGCCAGACGCCACGTTCCCTGAGAATACCGAAGTGCAGACATTTTTACGTGGAGCGGGTATGGCGATGAAAGTGAAGAAAGGGTTGCGGAAACTTAAGAGCTTTCAAGATGTAACTAACTGTGCAGCTAAATGGACCCGTGAAAGTCAGGTAAATGCCTCGTTCGAGACGGTACCAAGCTGCACGAATGCTGATGTGGTTGTAACAATCACGAAAACGCGCAAGTGGTTTGACGAACGTCAGCGCAAGTTGGAGCTGTACAAAGAAGAGCTGAAGCAGTTGAAGGAACAATGTGGGGGTGACACTCGTGGCTCTGACAACTAGCGACCTCGTCTGGGGTAGCAGGAAGTTACCCTCCAAAATCAAAATTAACTTAAAAAAATATTGGACGGCACAAAATAGGGTGCCGTTTTAGTGGTGAAATTCGTCTGAAAAGTTAACACTGTTACGTCAAGCATCAGGTCGAGGTAGACTATCTAGTATCGCGGTGGAAAAGTTTATAACTTTGTTCATGGCATTCCTGATGAAGGGTTGGACATGACCTTTTCTTCCTCATTTCGGTAGTTGCCGCCGTGAGCTCAGCATCTCCCGAAGATGTTACAGGTCCGTCAGCCACTCCAAATTAGCAAGGTTGGGTTATTGAACGATCAAGTAGAGAATATTCGTTTTTGTACCCGGTTTATAAGTCGATGGAGTGGGCCCGACTCCTGTCCCTATTACAACCGAGCTAGGTCGAAGCTAGTTTTAGTATTGAAAATACCGGGCCATCCCGGCGATCCCCCCTCAGCGGAAAATATGTTTTCCTGAAATTCTAGTAGAAACAGTCGCTAACCGTAGCACCTGGTAGGATAGCAGTGGTGATTGTCTAATAAATGTCGACAATGTCGTTTAACTTTCTTAGCCCAGCACACGCAATCTCCGCAGCTTCACTGAGTAAGTTTCTGGACGATATCGGCGTAGTGAAAAGAGAAGAATAGGATATTTCTGCCAAATCTTGCCGCTTAATTTGTGATATGCCCGAGTATTTTTTCCTCACAAGTACCTGTATTTAATTATTTTGTCAAAAGCCTTGAATTCCAGTGTTTATTTCATTACTTTACAAGCTAAATGACTGCCCAGGCTGTCACCCAAGCAGTTCCCACACGAGAGCTCGGAAATGTTCATATCATCGGCTGCGCTGGCAGCACAAGAAGCCATTGCTTGTGCTGCAGCTAGTAGCTGTCAGCTACCACCTGACAATTCTGCTGTGCAGGTATTCTTATGTTGTACAGATGCTACCTCGCGGAAATTCTAGTCATCTTAAAAGGATTACTTAAGTAAGGTTATCGAGACAATAATTTTTTTTTACAAATTTTGGCTGGAAAAGGTCAGTGTGAAACGTGCATTTATTATGACAGATTTGACTGATCCTCTCGATTGACCGGAAAAAATCGCTGAAATCCCAAGATTTGCCCATTTTCCTCATTCTTCGTTTTTAGCGTCGCAATTCATTAGAATATTCGGTTAGTGATTCGGAGTGATGTTCGAAGAATGCCTTGTCGGTCCCTCTCTATCACATTTTCGGGTCTGTATATTTTCAGTTCATTATCATTTTGAGAACAAGATGGACAGGCACTTCAAAGATGGGGCGTGGCCCTTTGGATACGCAGGGGAGTCGAAAGATGTTCCAGTTCCATCAGGCAACGCTATCGTTCAAATCAGCAAGATATTAGGTCGAGCAGACGAGCAAGTGGGCGAATACTCGTTTGGAGGACAAGCCAAGCCTTTGCCAGCAGCACTCGGATTAGCGGTCGATGGAGTGGGGTCAATTCCCGTACCAATTACCGAAGAGCGAGCTCAAAAGCTCATGTCTGTATGTGAAAAGGCTTCCTCCGGTGACAACTTGGACGTCAAGAAGGACGAAAATGTTCAGTCCGCCCAATTGAGCTTTGACAACATGATGTGGCAAGATGGTATTGCTGCTCTAACCGCGACCATTGCAGACCGCTTGGGCTATCCAGACATTACACTTGAGAGTAAGTTGTACAAGTTGCAAATCTCGGGAGAACAAGGTCATTTTGTGAAAAACCTGAGTACGGAAAGGGAGGATGACGCGATTGCCACGCTAGTGATTCAACTGCCTAGTGCTGTTGAAGGAGGCGATTTGGTCATTCGTCGCGGTGGAGAGATGAGGAAACGCCATGATTTTGGAAAGTCTGAGGGCACCGCTGCCTTCCTTCCTCACTATGCGATTCACTACCCTGATGCGGAGCATACAGTGGAGATGTTGACGAAAGGGTATCGACTCGCGCTGCTTTACTCGCTTCATTTACCTGTGACAATGCGTCACCGTGAGAAGAGTCACGATGTGCCTTTGAGCGAAGACCTGGCTAGTGCTATCATAAGTATGGATCTCGAGGATGATTTTTTTGCGCTGCTACTGTCCCATGAGAGCACAAGCAACAATATTAAACGACTGGGTGTTAAGGCGCTAACAGGCATTGACAATGTGCGAGTTCACGCTCTGGAAGAAGCCAATACGTTTGTTCCGGCCGACCGGAAACTGAAGATTTTTCTTGTTCGCTTGACACACCAACTCTGTCATAAAGCTGAAGATATTTTTGATCGACAAGGTACGCACAGCGAGTCTATGCGCTGGTACGATACCAGCGGTGAGTGTTTAGGAAATGTCTCAAAGTCGACTTTGCCCTTGAACTTTCTCAACCCAACTCGGGAAACACTTGGCCACTTGTGGGGACGGTACGCAGTCTCCATTGAAGACAAATACAGAAGAAGAACTACCGAATATGCCCCGTATGCGATCGTTGCGTGGCCTGCAGCTCAGCACGAAGAAAAAGCGATGGCATTTATGCCAGTCGATGCGGCTATTGAAGCTGTCTACGCTCGTAAGTCTATTGATGGTGAAACACTGAGGAAGTTACTGTGCGATATCGGTGCAAAGCTTGATGCTATCGGAGCAAATTACAACCGAGATGAGCTGTCCGTTAAATCTTGCCGCTTAATCTGCGAAATGCTCGTGGATGCCGGTAACTCTGAGCTCGTGAAACAATTTTTCAAAGACGCTAGCTCGAAAAGCTCGTGCTTGAAGTCTCCAATTCCAGTGTTTGCCCCTCCTTTTGGGCGACTGGAAAATAACCATCTACTTGTCCCTGCAATCACCAAGATTGTGCGAACGTTCGACTGGAACGACTATGGTTCTGAGCTGCTTCACCGTTTTGGCTGCTGGAACGAGATGGAAATGGCACTTCGAGTCGCTGATGGGTTGGAGACAGGGGCTGCCCAAGATGCCCTGCTTCAGAAGGCAGTTTGTCTGGTGAGACAAGATAAATTATTCTCCTCGAAAGCTGCTTGGATTTTTGTAAAATGGGCAATCCGAGGCGGTAGAGTTTACGTGGCGATGTTTAGCGAAATCGACCCAAGTCTTCTGGGTCCAGTCGTTGAGCAGTCTCTTCCGTTCTTGGATAGTATTAGCACAACTAGCAATGGTTCTCTTGTGGACCTCGTAGCCATTCTTCCTAAACGGATACAGTGGCTGACGGGGCAAATTGAGTTGCTGGACAAACCTTTTTCGTGGAAAATGCCAGACGCCAAATTTGCGGAAAACCCGAAAGTGGAGGCGTTTTTACGTGGTCCTGATTTTATCATGAAGGTGACGAAGGGAATGCATAAATTCAAGAGCTTCCAAGATGCAAACAATTATGCAGCTAAATGGACACGCGAAGACCAAGTGAATGCCTCGTTCGAGACGGAAGCAAGTTCGATGAATGCTGATGCTGTTGTGACTATCACGAAAACGCGCAAATGGTTTGAGGAACGTCAGCGCAGATTACTGACATACAAAGCAGAGCTAAACCGCCTGCAGGAACACTGCGAAGGACACTGCGAAGGAGACACCAATGGTGGCGACGAGAAGCGCGTTCGTCTTGAGTAGTATTCCTTTTTAATTTTTATGATATCTCTTTTGAGATACCTGAAGTATTAAAAATGAGAGCTCGAAAACTGTGGTAAAAAAGACCCTCGACTTATCAAGCTTGTCCAAGTTTGTATAAGTATTAACTATTTTCACGTCTTTATTCCGATCAGAAGTCCTCGTTCTGGAAAAACTTGTTGATCATCTCGTAAGACACCGCCGGTTGATCCATCGGCACCATGTGGCCAGAATTAAAGACACGAATAAAGGCCAAATTCTCAAACGACCGAACACGACCAGCATCCGTGTCTTCCGCCGTAACAAACGGATGGTTAGGAGCATTGTTAAACTTCGCTTTACCGGTCCAATCCAGTTCCATAACCCACGCTTGGTTGCCCACCCAATTGCACATGAGATCGGCATCACCAGCGTAAATCAGTACTCTCACCCCCGCATCTAGTAGAAGCTTAACATCGTCAGCAGACGACAGCATTTCATCAAATGCGAAGCCTGCACCGACAGTTGCATCGCACTCTCGCCACGGTTTCGACTTGTGTACGTCAACACCAAGTTTGTCCAACACGCTTGGTGTGTTCAAGTACTGGTCAATATGTTCAAAGTGGAAGCACTTCATGACGTTCTCTTCAGTACACGGCTCTCGGATATCGTACGGGTTACGTCCAGACTGGTAGTATGGTCCTTCCAGTGCTCCAGAGCAGAACTCCATGGCGTCAACACACCTCGGACGGTCTTTTTGACACTGCATGATCAGTTCGTGACACACAGGCTGTGCCTTCCGCATATCCTCAACAGCTTGTTCGTTCAGCAGCGACACGTTGTACGAGTTGAACGCCATGTCCACACTGTGTAGGTACTGCACTGCCGGGTCGGTCAGGCCGTTTCCGACCGCAATACCGGCTAAGTTAATGTGTACGGCGTCCGGCCTTAAGTGTCGGAGCATATTGGCTTTAAGTATATAACTAGCAGCTGCAGGGACGTAGTGTCCCCCGTAGCTTTCCCCAGTTACGAAGAACTCCCGGTCAGCCAGATGTGGATGCTTTTTAAGGAATTCCTGTAAGAACCAATAGATGTTCTCAGCCACGTTGTGCTCTCCGGAGTCGTAGTCCGCGGTAGGGCCGTAAGAGTATCCGACTCCGGTGGGTTGGTCTAGCCAAATTACATTGGCTTGTCCGTTCCATGAGTATGGATTGGTCTTGGTGGACAGATCCGACTGTACGTGGCAAGGACCATTCTCGGCCAAGAGTGCCATCATACTGGAGCAGCCAGGTCCTCCGGTTAACCAGAGAACCAACGGATCCTGTTGAGGATCACTGCGGGACTCTACGAACCAGTAGAAATAATGGTCGTCATCTTTGTTCGGCAATTTAATGTAGCCCGTCTCATGATTCGTAATCCCGCAGAAGAAATCGTCGTGGGGTCTCTCGAAATTGTTATTCGTGGTGCCTTTGAGGTTCTTCAAACTTGATAGTGATGAATCTTGGTGTACCACGAGCGCGAGCGTAAGCAACAGCGCCACACCAGTGATCACGAGTAGAGACGAGCGTCCGGTAGATGAATGTAGTTTGCGTGCTGAGCAGGAGGAGCGAGGGGGAGCAGTGCTCTCAGTCACGAGCGGCGTCAACTCCGACGAACGCCGCATTTTTTCCCCCCAGATTCGAAAGTGAGGAACATGATACAAAATATGGCACCAGATCTGAGTATTGTTTTGATTGGATGAAAATGCATTATTACCTCTTCAATTTGCTAAGTTGAAGTGAAATTGTACTTAACCTTTATTTGAAGTCTGGTGCAAGCTTTGGTTCTTGATAAACCGGTTGATCATCTCGAGTGCAGCTGCTGGTTGATCCTTGGGGACCATGTGACCTGCCTCGAAGACGCGAAAGGTTGTTGTACGAGCGGACAGAGCCAGCGTCGATTGTTTCAGTCTCCCCTGCCACTTGGAAGCTATGTTTCTCGGCATCGTTAAACTCCTGTTGGTTCTTCCACTTGAGTTGCTTTGTCCACGCTTCACTCCCACGCCAATTGCAATCCAAATCAGCGTCTCCGCTGTAAATCAGCACGCGGACGGACCCGTCATTCAGCAAGTCGGCGACGTATCCGTCAAATTTTTCATCAGGTCGGAGGAGTAGTGCGCACGCTGTTGCAATGACGTCACTTGTTCGGACACGTTAAGGTACTCTCGAACAGCAGTCGAGTTGAGATATTGCGCGACAGCAGACGTATTGTAGCATCCTGACGGATCGCGGGAGTCGCATTTCTCGCGGATGTCGTATTTGTTTCTATGCGAGTCGTCCACTGCGTTTAATAGGAGGCTTGAGCAGTAGCGCGATGCTCCGGTACATACACTCATGTTTGTCTGGCATACATTTAGAAGCTGGTTGCACACTAGCGCCGCTTATTTCATGGCTGCCAAGTCGGTAGGTTTGATCAAACTGATGTTATAAGAGTTGCTGACAGCCATATCCAGTGTGTGCGGCAGCTACAAACCCATGTAATATCGTCAGACTTACTTCAAGCTAGCAATAGCCCCATTGTGTTTTAATACGTACTTGGACAACAGGGTTCACCAAACTGTTGCCGATGGCAATTCCCTGAAGATTAATACGAACTGTAGCATTTGCCTTCTTGACGATGAGGTTCTCCCTCCAGATGTAGTGTGCTGCTGCCGGGACGTAGTGGGACGCATACCCCTCTCCAGCCAGAAACAAAGCTCTTCCTTCGAGCTCTGGATGTTTATCCAGGAATCCTTGTAGGAACCAGTATACATTCATCTGGACGTCCTCCGCATTGAGTTCTACTCTAGTATTACTACCGTACGAGAAGCCGAAACTCGTAGATTGGTCTAGCCAAACCACGTTCGCCTCAGACGTCCACGAGTACGGGTTCAGTGCTGTAGTGGCGTCTGAGCTTATCCGACAAGGACCGTTTTCTGTCAGCAACGCTGTGAGGCTGGAGGCGCCAGATCCGCTGCCGGTCACCCACAGGATTAACGGGTCGGTATCTGGGGCCTTGCGAGACTCAAAGAACCAGTAGAAAAGGTGGTCGTCTACGTTGTAAGGCAGCGTGATGTAGTCAGCCTCGCTCTCCTCGGTCCCGCACTGGAACCAGTTCTTGGACGTGGGAGCCGGCGTGTGATGATGCCTCGTGCTATTGAGTGGCTTCAGGTCCGTGTGAGGCTCCGCCACCGCGATGGGATGCTGTGGAACTGCCTGTGGATACGTCTTCGTGCCGATGTTCATCGTCGTCAGCACGGCAGCGACCATCAAGACGAAGCCGAGCAGCACTAGACCGGCGATACGGCGCTTGTGGTGAGCGTATTGCTCCTGCGGCCTGCGATGGCTTTGGAGCAGTGGCGTCGTCTCCGTCGCCATGGTTCCGCTCACCGCCGAGCGTATCCACTAGACTGCAAAGTCTAAACTAATAAAGTCGGTCACGCAATTTAGCTGATGTTCGATGATGACTGTACTGACGAGCGCGCCATCCGCGGTGCCTCAGCACAGCAGTGCTGGCAGGATCCCATCCTGTCGGAGAATCTCTTCGCTTGTCACCGATCTTCAGTTTTCTGCTTGGGTTTGTCACGTACGTGTCTGTCGCAGATCTGATTAGCCACTCACGATGCCTGGCTATCGATCAGTGGCGGCCGCTTACGTAGCTTCTAATTTCGGAAGTGTGCAAAATGATTTTTTAGTACTGTATAGTACACTAGCCGAGCGCCGCCGCTACGCGGCGGTAATTTCGGTTTTACTCCAGATTTTTGCCTTCCCGCCTTCGCTTCGCTTTGGCGGGATAATTAGTCCAAATCCTCTGAGTCCCATATGTACGTAAATCGACTTCTTTAATTTCATAAATCTGCGTTTCATTTGCTACAAAATGCTGAGTTCCCAGTAAGCCGTGTAAATATTTCTACCGGTACAAAAGACTGAGCCCCTAACATCATACTTACCATGCTCATAAACGATTACGCTAGTGATCTTGGCAAAGTCTCGTTATTGTTGTTGGCTATCACTGTACCTTAATCTTCCACCCAGAAGCACCTGCACTTCAGTCTAAAACCGCTAAATAATATATTTAGTTTAGCGTCGTGATCGATTTCACGGGCCGTTTCTGAAACCTAGATTGCAACAATGCAAAGAATATCTGTCCAGCTTGCATCAAATACCCGCTTGTACTGCCTGGTTAAGCTTGTAATAAACTGACTATTAACCACTTCGCATACCAAACTCGCTACTTTGAAAGAAAATTAAAAGTGTTACAGTTTGAATATTTAATAAAAATATTCAAGCTGTAGCATTTTTTTATGCCTTGAAGTGTGTTCATTTTGTGCTGATTCAGAATTAGTCATTAGACACACCAATCTGTGCCTGTTATGGTTATACTGTAGCCTTTGGATATAACGATGCGTCGCACGACGCCTTTTGTTGACGGCGGTATTTTTATTTGATACTTAAACGATGATTCCAGGGTTAAACGTAGATTAGGCTCTAAGTTGATTAACGTTTCTTTACGGGCCTACTTATAATAACCATAATTTACACCTCTCATGTTGTGTTGTTATCTTACCGCTGCATGTAAAACCTTATTCTACGCCTTGTCGGCAACGCGTCTGCCTATTAAGAAGTATCAGAATTTTGTTGTCTACATAAACGCTTAGGAAACAATACAGTAGTAATTGTCATCAGCACATATTACTTTTTTTCCACGTCAATCTAAGCTATCTATCTTTGTGGATCTAGTGACAACGTTTATAAGCACAGCTTTGCTCTTACGGCAAGCCCACACGACCGGCTACTGCTGTACATGTAACATGTACAATTTAGCAATACCAGAAACCCACTCAGATAACTTATTATTAATAATGCTAATATCTTTACAATAAAAAATTGAAATTATCATTTTAGTCAGTGTAACTCGCAGATCCTACTGAGTACAGAGTATTTAGTATACTTAAACCATGTCCTCGGAAACACGCATGCTTACGTGTACGCTAAGCACCCTGCCCTCCCTTTAGTACTCAAATATCAATGCATTATGAAAAACTATAAAATATTAAAACGATGCCGCCTTCGGATAATGTATTAGCTTTGTGCAAATCCCCATATGTTAGCTGGGAAACACATGCATTTATTGATGTCAACTACACATTCTAGTTTTAACCAATTGAAGCCACCTTCGCTGCGCTCGGCAGCCAGTAGAAATATTTAAATTATTTTATCCAATGATTTGTCCGGAAAAGCGTGACAGGCACGACAATTTAGTGTGACGGACAGACAGGTTGCTGCAGTAGATGTTTAAGATGTACCTCTACCGGTAGTAGCTGTACAGTACATGTATTATTTGTAACACGATTCCGGCAAAAGATTGCATTACAGTGAGGGTTATTATGCTGTGAGCTGCCATGGTACTACGTAGTTTGAATAAACCAACTTAGAACAGGGAGTGGTGAAGCTCGCAGTCCTAATCAATCTAAGCTTTACTGGGCAGGTTGGCCTGGTCATCCTGCACCGGCTGAGCTGGAGGAGTATTCACGGGCTGCACCGGAGCAGCGTTCACGGGTTGAGCCGGAGCAACGTTCACGGGCTGAGCCGGAGACACGTCGGCAGCAGGCTGGGGCTCAGCGGCCGGAACAGGTTGGGCGGCAGGCACAGGCTCTGCAGGGACGGGTTCAGCGGCAGGGACAGGTTGTACAGCCGCGGCAGGTTCGGCGGCAGGCTGCTGATCAGCGGGGGCAGCGGCCGGTTGCTCGGCGGGGGACTCAGAGGGAGGCTGGGCTGGAGGTTCCGGGGCTGGTTGAGCCGGTGCTTCCGTGGCAGGCTCAGTGGGGGGCTCAGTTGCGGGCTGACGAGGAGCTTCAGTAGGGGCTACGGTCGGGAGCGCTGTGATGACGGGTGCCTTCGTTCGAAGAGCTGGGGTGGGCTCGGGAGTAGTCTGCTCCGTCACCTCGGTGGACTTGGAGCTGTGGCCACTGAGAGTGAGCCACAGCACGACGATGACGGCCGCGATAACCACGACAGCGCCAGTGATGCCGACGATACGCTTGCGCTTCTGGGCATCCGAGGCGTACTGCTCGCCACGCAAGGGGGTCGTTTCTGTGGGCATTTTGTGTGGGGTAGATACTACTGTGCAAAACTCAGATTCGCTATGCACTCCGCGGCGACAATCGAGAAATGAGCTCTCAAGTCAGCCGCGCGAGAAGCTTCCATGGCAGAGGAGTGTTGGTCATTACCCAATGCCATTGGGCCAATGGGCAAATCAAAGGCGCTGACAGCGCGGTGTAAGCGGACCACGCAAATATAGAAGCCTGTGGGTGGCCTTCCTGGCTTGCTGCTTGGTCTGCTGCGTCGAACCAAGATTTGATTGTCAACGCAACATTTGTATGGGCTTGTTTCTGAAGCCATTTACTTTAAGTATGGGCACTGCCGCGGTTGTGGCGACAGCGCGTTGACAGTGTCAACTTGACACAGCGCAACAGACTCGTTTTCATCTGTACATGTATCATAGCCGAGGGACAACCTGAGACTGAGTTGTGGGCTACATTGTGGACACAATGGCAAGTTCCTAGAATGCGCAATGCTTCCGCACCTCATGCGATACGGAGTTGGCCAACGTGTACGTCACCAAGTTAGCTGGTAGCCTGCTACAGTACATGTACACCATGTAGCCTACATGTACTTAGAACTAAATCAGAAGTACATGTACTGTACATACAGTGTATGTACATGATGTACATACACTGTAGTGGAGCCGGAGGAAGGTCGCTTTGGCATTTTGATGCAGTGCAATATTAAGGCGATTTGCAAGCCACCTGATTCACTCTGCCACGTCAGTGGTTCATAAACGAGCCATGGTATCCGTTGTAATCAGGCGTATCTTACGACTCGTAACTTATCGGTACAATAGTTCACCGGGCAATTCATTTGACTTCGATTGTCAATTGCCTACAGCTCTTTACTGCGCAGGAACCGGTTGATCATCTCCAGTGTCACTTCCGGTTGGTCCATGAGCGCCATGTGGCCAGCGTTAAACACTCGCAGGAACGTCAACCGCTTAGCGTACGTCCAAACGCTTCCGACGTCTCTCGCATCGACCTCAAACGCGTGTTCTTCAGTCTCCTGGAACTCTGTCTGATGAGGCCACGTCAACGCTCTCGTCCACGCCAGTCCGCCGTACCAATTGCACACCAGATCGGCGTCGCCATGGTAGATCAACACTCGGATGGAGCTGTCACGCAGCAAAGCCTCAACGTCCTGCTCGAACGTCTTCATTAGATCCGCAGCAAACGCCAGCTCCACATCCGCTGACGCTGACTGCCACGGCGCCGGGTGTACACTCGCTACGTTCAAGTATGAGCGTACAGCGTCCGAGTTCAAATACGCCGTTATTCGCTTGACCATATCTCCGTAACAGTAGATCGGGTCCAGTTCAGTGCATTCCTGACGGATATCCATCATGTTGCGACCCGCGCCAACGTACGCGCCCATTACATTAACCTCACAGAACTCACCAGCGTCGATGCATACGCTCGAGTTGGTTTGACACGCTCTCACGAGCGCTGTGCATTGTTCCTCTGCCACCTTCGCCTTCGCCAGCGTGTCGTCGTCTATCAACTTCACGTTGTACGCGTTGTCGAACCATGTCCAAGCCGTGCTCGCTTTAGTACATACAGCACAAGTAAAGTCAAATATTTCATATCTACTTAAGAAAATGAGATAATCACCTGCACGACGGTGTTGACCAGACCGTTGCCAATAGCGATGCCTCGAAGATTCAAACGTCTCTTCTTGGTCGTCTTGTTCTCCCGGTAGATCTTGTGTGCCGCGGCCGGGACGTAATGACCAGCATAGCTCTCACCAGCGAGGAACAACGAACGGTCTTTGAACTCGGGGTGTTTGTCCATAAAACCTTGTAAGAACCAAAAAATATTCTCCTGGACGTCGTTCTCATTATTGTCGACGTCCGCCGGAGTGCCAATCGAGTACCCGACGTTGGTGGGCTGATCCAGCCAGATGACATTGGCCTCAGTATTCCACGAATGGGGGTTGATCGTAGTGGACAAGTCTTCGTTGACGAAGCACGGGCCGTTCTCGGTTATTAGCGTCAGGAGACTGGAGACTCCAGGACCACCACTGAGCCAAAGGATAAGCGGGTCCGTTGCGGGCGCATTGCGAGACTCAAAGAACCAATAAAAGTACTGGTCGTCCTGCTTGTTGGGTAGCTTGATGTATCCCGCTTCATTGGCTGCGGTGCCACACGTCGTAGTCGCATCGTCAGCGTCCGTGATTGTAGCCAACGACGGCGTCTGGTTTGTGGTGGCAGCAAAGCCTAACACCACGACGACCACAAGTACCAAGGTTCCTAAGGCCACGATCTTAGCAATGCGCCTTCGGCGATACATCTCGGCCACTCGCACATCCGAATGCAACGGAGTCGACTCGTCCACCATGGCGTCGACTGGGCAGGGAAGATCTTCAATTGTGAGAAATTAGTGGAAACGAACTGTATTTGAATGTAGGAGATCGCACTGTCCCGTGTCAAAAATGAGCTGATAGGTGCATGTATGCGAAGCGGTTTTCTACAATGCCTTGTTGGTAAGGAACCTGCTGATGAGGTCTAATCATTAGACTCTAATGAGACGGCGGGTTGGTTGGTTGGCACCATGTGGCCAGCGTTGTACACGCAAGATTCTCAAACGTCCAGACTTCACCTGCATCAATGGCGGGGCTATTGTTCGATATTAAGGGGTCGTGCGCGATGAATGTTCTCTTTTCAGCAGTAAAGTAGCCATCCTTGCCTCGCCAGTCGAGCTCTAAAGTCCAGGCTCGATTGCCGATCCAATTGCACATCAGATCGGCGTCGCCGGCGTAGATGAGCACGCGGAGACCATCATTCAGCAGCTCCGCTACGTATGCATCGTACGATGCAGCCCAGTCTCCATCGGCAATGAACCTCGTGTGAATGACTTCATTCTCTTCCACCCACGCCGGAGCGCGCTTATCCACGTTCAGAAACTTCCGAACTTTCGGAGAGTTTAAGAACTCCATGATGACAGGGAAGTCTCCACAGTTGCATCAGGGTCACTGTTGTTGCACGGCTCACGAATGTCGTAGTTGTTGCGATTCGCTTTGCTCAGAGGCTGTACCAGCTTCGTATCCCAGCAATCGACACCCAAGAGACAAAAAGTCTCATTCTTCGGTGGTATCAGGCACTCGCGTGTGAGTTCGATACACTCGACGCTATCATCCTTCATCTGCTCTACTTCAACGTCCGTCAGAAGGGTGATATTGTATCGGTTATCGTTCATGTCTTGGTAGTGAGCGTACTGGATCAATCCATTCGTAAGACTGTTGCCGATGGCCAAGCCTTGCAAATTGATGACCGGATTCTTCTGGTTCATTTCCCGAATGTAATGCGCTGCAGCGGGAACGTAGTGTCCCCCATAACTCTCACCCGTCAGGAAAAACTCGCGGTTCTGGTACTCTGAGTGTTTGTTTAAGAATACCTGTAAGAACCAGTAAATGTTCTCACCCACATTGGTTTCGTTGTAATCCGTGTCGGCAGGAGAGCCGAACGAGAAGCCTGTGCCGGTTGGTTGGTCCAGCCAAATCACGTTAGCGTTGCGGGCCCAGGAGTACGGATTGGGTTTAGTACTCATGTCGGGCTGGATACAGCAGCGCGAATAACCCAGAGCCACCGGGACCTCCAATTAGCCACAGCACCAACGGATCTATATCTGGACTGGTGCGCGACTCAAAGAACCAGTAGAAATAGTTGTCGTCTTCCTTATTGGCCAGCTTGATGTAGCCGGATTCATTCTTCGAGTCACCACAGTTGAACTTGTCAGGTTTATCGTCGAAAACCACCCACCACAAGCCCAATCCCAACAGAACTACGATGCCTAGGACTACTTGATCTTGAGCTTATTAGTGGAGGAACTGTATGTGGCTTCCACGGCTGGGAGCAGTCGAGTCTAGCCGCGCCATAATTTCCACACTGTGTGATCCTTTTTTCTTAGCTGATTTAACCCAACGAATGAGGTGATAAAGAGGGATCTTTGAAGATAGAACGCCTTTCATTCGTACCCAATCAACTTGTGAATCTAAGCTTAAGCTTACAGCGTTTTGTTCGTGAAGAACCTGTTGATGAGGTTTAGCGAGACTGCGGGCTGGTTCATGGGCACCATGTGTCCAGCATCGTACACGCGGACGAACGCGAAGTTGTCAAAAGATCGAACCACACCCGCGTCAATGTTGCTCCCTCCATCGGGTAGCAGCGGGTCATGTGCGATGAATGCTCTCTCTTCGACTGCATTGTAGCCATCTTTGCCTTGCCACTCGAGATCCAGCGTCCAGGCTCGATTGCCGATCCAGGGGCACATGAGGTCGGCGTCTCCAGCGTAGATTAGCACGCGAAGAGCGTCGTCCAGCATCTCAGCGACGAATTGATGGAACGGCATGGACCAGTCGCCATCGCCAGTGAATGTCTTCTCCACTTCATCACTGTCTTCGTGCCAGGCCGGCGCACGCTCATTTACGTTCAAATACTTGCGTACTGTTGGCGAGTTCAAGTATTCTGCAATGAGCAGATGAGCGCCACAAGCGGAGTTGGGGTCGCTGTTGTTGCACGGCCGGCGAATGTCATAGTTGTCGCGGTTTGCCTTGCTGAACGGAGCGATGAGCTTTTCGGACCAACACTCTGGCGCTATCTTGCAAGCTGTATCATTGCGTGGTGTTGCTTGACAGTCTTGCGTTAAACGAATACACTCTACACTATCAGATTTCATCTGCTGCTCTTCGCCTTCTGTAAAGAGCGTGAGGTTGTATCGGTTGTGGTTCATGTCTTGGTAGTAAGCGTATTGAACCGCCGGGTTGGTGAGACCATTGCCGATTGCCAGGCCTTGGAGATTGATAAGCGGGACCTCGTCACTCGCCTTGGTTTCCTTGTTCAACGACCAAATATAGTGCGCTGCTGCTGGAACGTAGTGTCCGCCATAACTTTCACCGTCACGAAGAACTCGCGGTTCTGAAATTGTGGGTGTTTTTCCAAAATTCCCCTCAGAAACCAATAGATGTTTTCACCCACATTGGTTTCATTAAAATCTTTGTCAGCCGGAGAGCCAAAGGAATAACCCACACCTGTGGGTTGATCCAGCCAAATGACGTTCGTGGTGTTCCAAGAGAACGGGTTCAACTTGGTGCTTAGGTCGCCTTGGATGGTGCACGGGCCGTTCTCGGTCAATAGAGCGAACATGCTAGAAGAGCCGGGACCTCCGGTAAGCCACAATACCAATGGGTCCGTCTCGGGACTCGTGCGCGACTCGAAAAACCAGTAGAAGTAGTGATCGTCCTCCTTGTTCGTTAGCTTGATATGACCCGCGGAACTGTTGGTGACACCGCAGACAAAAGAGCCCTCGGGCGTTGAATCCGAGTGTCCGTGGTCTTGAATCAGCCACAACGCCAGCACCAGCAACGCTCCACCGAGTGTTAGCTTCAGGATAAGCGCTTTCTTGCTACGGCCATTAGCACTTCGGGCGACCAAAGGTGACGATTCGTCGCTCGCCATCTTCTGCACTTACGAAGCTGTAAAGCAAAACGATATATGAGAACGTGATTCTGATCGGAAGAGTGATTGGCAATCATCCTCAGTTGTACGTGCTGTAGATCAGCAAGAATGGCGTTCCTACAACACAACTACAACGTCACGACAGCTCTTGCAGCAACACAATGGGCTTGTAGCACCACAGCGAGTGCCACAAGAAGCAACTCTAGAAGGGTCGATCGTAATCTATTCGTGATATATTTCAGATACCTCGAAACTTACGATTCCACTTTGACAAAATTTGTGATAGGAGAAGGCACATTCTGCGACGATTCAGTCGAAACAAAGAGACTTGAGAGATAAATGAATCAGGACAATGCAGGCGCTTGTACCAGCACCGCTAGTGAAGATCTAACGCCCCTAGCGCCTCCATCCCCTCCTGCCACACGCCATAGCTACTCTCGAGCTCACAATTCGAGGCTGTGCAAAGAGCTATTACGCTCTAAACTCCGGCAAATTCAACGCATGGAAGAGAAGTTGCAGATGCTGACTTAACACTCGGAGAAGCTAATACAAGCTCGGGATGAGCTCGCCTCAATGCTCGCCGAAGAGAAAGGTGATGCAACACGCCTAGCAGCTGCAGTTGGGGCCGTCGCTTTGGACAGAGGCTACGTGATGTCATACAGTTTGATGCTGGAGGAGTGCTGCAATATAATCCTTGATAGGCACCAGTGAGTCAGCGTCAAAAGTGAAGCACGTTAATCTATTCGTTGTGATGCAAAACCAAACAGCTTTATTCTATTTCATTAGTGTTGCAAGCAGAGCTTTATCCGTAGCATTCACTATTCGATCGAGCTTGTTGGATCGAGTTGTCACTTCAGGCTGCGAAAGAATCATCCAAAGTATTCTGAGTCTCATGGCAGCAACATCATCACGTGTGACAACAGTTCTGGAAAAGCTGAAGCTATCTCTCAGCATCGCATACGGCTGAGCAATGCACACCACACCACACGACGTTCCGTCTGGTTGTTTTGGAGCGTCAAGCTATACTGCGCTTGATTCTAGCGGTGACTCGGTGAGCCGCATAGAGGAATTATGCCAGTTTCGCAGAAACTATGCCACAGTCACTTCGTAAGTATCTTCCATCGCCGCCCGATACGAGCCGTTGCACAAAGGCTCACAGCAGTAGGGGGTGAAGGTGGGTCGATCTTGACGGTAGTTCATGCGCACCATGATTATTCCCCAGTGGTTGTTGTTCAAGTGAACGGGCATAACAGCGTAATGGTACATCGAAATGCGCCCTACTGGAGTTATTGGGCAACCCATCGTCGGAGCGTAGGAGTCAATAGCAAAACATTCACCAACTGAGTTGCAGATACAGCGGAGGCTGAAGTCGATAATAATACCACTCAGCATCCGTTCTCTTGCCAACATGCCGACCAAATGGTCCACCTTGACAGTGGCATCGCCGCCCGACAACCGAAACATGGACCCAAGGCATGCTTTGCCAAGAATTCTCGCGTCATCTTCTGCAAATTCTTTGTGGTGTTCACCAGACTCACTAGGTAGCATCCCGTCCGTGTCCGTCTCTTCAGCAACAGTTCTGGGGCTGACAGGGTTTTTTCCCACTTTGTCGAGAGAACCCAATCCATATCTGCCAGCCAAGCTTCGCACTTCCGACGGATCTCATAGAACGCCTTCATGCGGTAGGCAGCGCCACTAGTTCACATTATAATTTGCATCATGTATCCAATACAAACAACATTATAAGCAACATAGTAAGCAACACAATGAGCAACACAGCAGTACAGACAACAAACCTGGTGAACTTTGGAGTGCCTCCAGGAAATAACGCGATGATCTCGTTCGTGGTACCTTCGGGGTGATCGGCTTCCGAATCGTTACCGAAATAGCTGGATTTCTTTCGTTTCATCTTCTCCGCTTCGACCACTACGTCCAGCCTATTCACTAGGTGCTTAGGAATGACGAAGTTGTAGTCGTAGTCATCGGCGCATACATACGAACGCTGACAGCGCGCAGAACGCGCTCCCATGAAGTCGTCGTCCATGATGACTGGATAGTTTGCCATCAGCTCGCTAACGTGATATCTGTCCTTAGTATTTGGAGTTCACTCCAGTAGTCGAGATAGACATGGCACGCGCTTGTCGGGAAGCTCAATGGCTGCCAGTTTCGGTGGCTTCGAGGATGCCGAGCGAACTTGCTTTTTTTTCTCTCGTTGTGTCGAGGCTTAGATTGGAGAAACCTTAGCACGTCTATCTGGCCTGGCCCCCGCGCCTTTTGCTTTGAGAGCTTGGCGTTACTTGTATGGACCACTCGCTTTGTTTGGAGCTCCACAATCTTAGATGGCTCACATTTGGCTGGAGGTGACTCCATTGTTTGCCGCCAAGCCTGTGTCAGTGTCTGCGCCGTCGTTGTAAGACCCGAGTTAGGTCTTTCATGGTGATTCAGCATAGATTCTGCTGTGACTCTAGATGGTGGTGTGTGTATAGCCGCAGGTGCAAAAGAAAACTCTTCGTTCTTTTCTTCTTCAAGCTGTCGAATCAACTTCATTGACTCCATTAGATCGGCGGGGGTAATTTCAGATGCACTTTCACTTGCTGAATCGTCGCTGTCGTCGCCTGACTCTGAATCGGAATCCGTTATTTTCTGCGATGACGTGGTGTCCCTTTCTCCATACCCCTGCGTACTATTTCCCGCCATGACTGTAGTGCCATGTAGAATTTTGGGCTAGATAGTTGAGATAGATAATCCAGCACAGGCTCAAATACAGCTTTGGCGTAGCAGTATTTTTCTTCAGAAGACAGAACGACAACATTCGCACGCTCACGACGCCGCATTTTTACGTAAATCACGCGTTTTGACAGGTGAGATGTGTCCAGGTTTCTCCAGCGGGACTGGTTCTCCTGCTCCCAAACTTGAGACTCTTGCTCCACTTGTGCTGCTTCAAGAGACTCCTTTTCTGCTTCAGCGCCGTGTGTTGCTTTGTGTGTTGCTGAGCATTGTGTAAAGTCGCTGTGCGAGGATGACTCGGGTGTATCTTTCAGCTTGTCTTGAACTGACTGCAACGACGCTATCCCATGGCTGAAGGCTTCATCAAGCTTCGCCATTTCTGCCATGCTCCAACGTGGCCGAATAATCGAAGCCGGCATTTTTTTCAAACTGGTGTCTTTGCGCGGCGATATACATCAGATGCTGGCAAGGTAGATGGTAGGTGCAATTAAATAGGCAGGAACAGCTCCACTCGAAGTCGTTACACTGGAAAATGCTTCCTTGCGTGCTTATTTCCCATTGACCCACGTCACTTAGTCGTTTGGCAAATGTGTTCTGAGCCAAAATCACCATGAAATAATCCCACTGGTCCCGCCCTTTCGCTAGCGTGTCGTCGCTCATGTGTTTCGCCAAAAGAGAAAGAAACGTGGGGACCCGAACTGGTTGGCGATTAGTAGTCGAGTGCTTGCGCATGGCAGCGATCTGCTGTCAAAAAGCCGTTGACTGGTGTGCCAATACACCACTAATCGTGAAGTCAATTCGCGGTTTCTTCCCAAGGAGCAGCTTTAGCTGATTCCAATTAGGCTCGATGCGGTTGGTCGTCGTATTACCAGCAGTGAAGAATTTTCCTCGAGCGTGGTTTGCCCACATGGAACTACATGTTTTCCAGTGTTATTGAAAATACTCCAGCAGCTTGGGTCACTCTTCTTCACACCTCCGGGTAAACACGTCTACTTCAGCGTCAAACTTAGACTGTGAGTTGCTAAAGACATATGTAATAAATAAAATAAGCAACACAGAAAGCAACACAACATTAAAAATTCTTACCAATAAATCAATTTCGCAATCCATCGCATCTCTTTGAGCCATCTTCAGATCATATTTGGGACGTCGGCAGACCTTCCGCCAGTACGTCAACACGTGAAATTGACACAGAAGTATCTTAGCGTTCGGGAAAGCTTTCTCAAGAACTCGCCATTCGACAAAGTCCTTATCGATGACGACACTTTGAACACTGCGCCAAGTTGGGTTTTTCAGCTTGAAAAATTCGATGATGTACTTCATCGTAGCTGCCTTCTGATCAAGAGCAAGGAAATCAATAACTGGAATTTTTCTTCCCGTTGCTGATGTTGCAACAAGACTGCCTATAGAACGGTGACACATTTAGTTAATTTTTTAATGTTATTTTCATCAGAACTACAAATAACTGAATTGGACATGCTAAATGGTACCCCAGATTGTTGGTTCCATGTGTCCAGCCCATGACCAAGCTGTCTCCCCAGGTCTCGAAGCATGTCTTCTAAATTGACGATTGCATCGCAATGATACAAGTAATATCAAGCTGATCCTGGACGAGAAGAACATCATTACCACTATCCTCGTCGGCAAAATTGCCCAGGATAACCTTGGATCTCTCAGTACTCGACTCGCCGAGCACTTGTCGCACAAGATTTCTTGTCAGCTGAGGCGTAAGCACCATATCTGTATCCGAAATCATATCAAAATTATCATTAAATTGAAGAAAAAAAATACGTCAGAAAAAATATACAACTGCAAGTGGCCTAATAGTAGCACCCACCGAGCTTGTCCGACAAGTATCGATTAATGTCAGCCGTGCGCGTCTTCATCTCGGTCAAAAGACCAAGTTTTTGGCGGGCTTGCGGGGTGAGTGGCATTGACTTCGCCCCACGATACGAGTCGTAGATTGTTTTATTGGTCTTGTGGTTGTGTAGCGATATCTGTGAATCAATCAGATATTAATATCTCTTTCTGACAGGGTACTTAAACAGAGACTCACCTCCGTTCCTGGTGCAACGATCACTTGCCATGTGGCTTGACCATCCACGACAACACGCTCAGAGCGAACGAGGAAACCTGCTTCACAACCGGTAAAGCGTAAATCGTAGTCACGGCGGCCTTTGCCGCGGGATTCTTGTGACGGTCCGTGAGTGCACCACATCCGCTTAAAACTGTGCGTCATCTTTAATGGAAGCTGTGTAATTCCATGTCAGCTACAATAAATCATACACCCATACATAATGTAAGAAAACAAAAATATAATCAAACAATGAGTTCATGTACCTGTTGTACTTGGCCCGGGTTTCCGAGTTTCTAACCCGGTAACACAAGTAGTTCTTCGCAGCGTAATCCGCCAGTATGTCATTGAACTCACTCCAGTCTATAAATGCTTTCTTCGGGAGCTCCGGCACATAATTTGTCACTGATGTGTGGGATTTCTTCATGGCTTCCCGAATTTGCCAAGTTTTCGTTCGACGTGTAGGCTTGCGAGCTGTGTGGACTTGCGCAATTGGCTTGGGAGCGGGATCGGTGCTTTTACGAGTCTTCTTAGCTGTCGGGTCTGTACTTATTTCTGGTTCGTCGATCTGGGAATGAACCCGTTTTTTTGTGTGCTTTCTTTCAGATCCCGAGCCTTTAACAATAAAGCAAAAATATATGTAGCAACATATGAAGCAACACATAAGCAACATAGTTAGCAACATAGTCAGCAACATAACCGACAACATACGCAGCAATATAACAAGCAACACAAATGTAAACGTACGCAAAGTGAGTTCCTGATTGGTTTCATTGAGGTTGACTTTGTGTAGTACGGCCCCGCCGGCGTCACGAATCACAGTATTGGCATCCGCTGTGCCATTTTCGACAGTGATTTCCGTGGCACCATCGATTGCCTTAATGTGCCCCTGTCCAGATACCGGCTTCATGTCGTCTTCAGCAGCTGTATGACTGCTCGCAACCTCTTTCTCGGCCTCCTCTCGCGCAGCTTTCTGGGCCTCCTCTCGAGCAGCTTTCTCGGCCTCCTCTCGCGCAGCTTTCTGGGCCTCCTCTCGAGCAGCTTTCTCGGCCTCCTCTCGCGCAGCTTTCTCGGCCTCCTCTCGCGCAGCTTGCACAAAGCGTAGAATGGATGCCTCAAAACCTAGTAATTTAAAGCAGTGACAATTAGTATTTTCAGGTAACGTAACTGACTTGGCGTACCCGTCACATGCTGATCGCCATCGCACTTCCTTTTGTCGTCAAAGTCCTCTCCATCGTTGGCTTCCTTGGCATTGTCCGTATTGTCTTTGAGCCTGTCGATGCTGGTGTCTGCGTGACGTCCTTGATCGACGGTCCGAATAGTACTAGGGATATCTTCGAGGTCAGCGTCCCGTCCGTCGGCAGGATCGCGCTCCGGGTCATAATCCTCATCATTGTCATCGTCCACTGCAAAGCCTTGGACAGCAAACACGTAGTCGATGGGTTTACGCTCGCGTAGGGTAGCATTTGGCGCTTGTGTGCTCGTGTCGATCGGCCCAGAGGGCGCATCTTGGGCTTAATGCAACGCTAAATCAAAAGAAACAAAGCGGGTAAGCAGACACGATACACTACGTCACATGGCAACAGCTTACCCGACGTTCTGCCCGGGCGCGCTTGCAGGCTTGGTTACCATTGGTCCAGGAGAAGAGTACGTAGCTGCATCAGCAGCTAAAAGTGACATCAGCGTTGTGTTGGTAAATCGATTTAGAAACTTAATACAAACGCGACTTACCAGGTGCGTCGATTCTCAGCGAGCTCGCGCGTGGTGGCTTCGACGGTATCCCCTTCTTCTTCGTCACGTCCTTCCCTCCCTTAGCTCTCGTCGCTGAGCTTAAGGGGCGCGCGTTTGCCTGCCAACCCTTCTTCGCTGGTGTCATACTTGCTGGAGGCTGGTTTCTCGTGTCTGTATTCAAAATATAAAAATGGGAGGCTGGAAATGATTTGGGGGGATCGTACTTAAGTGCGAAAACTGGATCTTGCGAATTTTAATTTAGTCGGAAATTTTCACAGTAAGGAAAACGTAGATAAATTACGTAGCAACACAACAGCCGATTGTGTTGCTCTCAACCTGATGTCGTGACGTTGTGGCTGTGTTGTAGGAACGACTCCGGATCAGCAACCGGTTTTCATCAAAAATAAACGAATCGAAGCTTAAAATATACAAGCGATCGAGGAAAATGAGCTTAATATGGTCAAATAGTGAAAAAAAAAACTGGATTTTCTTAACCAATCATATTTATCGAAGAGAAGATTTTAACCAATCACATATACACTGCTGTGCCAATTATCTGCGAATTATCGTAGAAACGCTATTTTGACAAAACGCTATTATAGTTCCGAGAAGTGACCATCACTCTGACCCTGGACAAAAGTACAGTAGAAGGCAACTGGTGACGCCACTACCATGACCAAGGGGTCTGAGTTCACGCCTGTAGAAAGAGGCCAGATTTGTGGGCTTCGCGAGGCAGGTTGGGCGTTTACCGCAATCATAGGGAGGTCGCCGGCAGGCGTGAGCAAGTTTTGGAGGACGAAGCAGAACTTACGACCGTCCTGGACTTCGCTTCAGATTTGAGCAGTACAGTACTGTACTCAGTACAGTACAGTGTACTGTACCAGTGACGAGTGGGATTCCCACTGGGAATGATTGCGAATACCGTCCTATCATTCCCCAATTGCGCGCTTCCTGCAAAGTGGTAATGGGACTCATGAACGAGAAGACCCGATTGTTACCCGCAGTCCAGGCCATTTATGGCTCCACCAGCAGCAAGCTTAAGATCAAGCGTTGTCTGATCATCCTGGGCATTGCAACTGCAGTCATTTTGGCTGCATTAAGTGTGTGGTGGCTATTCTTCGTCGACCACGAGGCTGCGTCAGTCGAATTCATCTGTGGTGACACTAAGAACGAGGCCGGGTACATCAACCTACCCAACAAGAACGACGACCATTACTTCTACTGGTTCTTTGAGGCAAAGCACAATGCGAGTACCGCGCCCCTGGTCATTTGGTTGACGGGGGGGCCCGGGGGGTCAAGTCTACTGGCGCTATTCAAAGAGAACGGTCCGTGCCGTATCCAACCAGACCTCACGACGAAAGTGCACCCGTACTCATGGACATATGAAGCCAATATGATCTGGCTGGATCAACCTACAAGCGTCGGGTTCTCGTACAGTTCTGGAGGAGACCACGACTACAACGAGAAGGACGTGGGTGAAAATCTGTATTGGTATCTGCAGGGTTTTATTGAAAAGCACCCAGAATTTAAAGGACGGGAGTTCTTTTTAACTGGTGAGAGCTACGGAGGACACTACGTCCCCGGAGCAGCACATTACATTTGGCAGCAGAACAAGAAGAACGACACTAACGCAAAGAAGATCAATCTGCAAGGCATCGCAATTGGCAACGGATGGACGGAGCCAGCTGTGCAGGTACCTATGTAGATTTTCGAGCTATCTAGCAGCTCTGAGTTAACCTATCAGTTACTGTATGTTACAGCACCTGCACGCTCCTGATATGCTCGACAACTCGTACAACGTCACGCTGCTCGATGAAGCGGCAGCTGAGCAATTCAAGATTGGCGCTGCTAAATGCGCAGAGCTAACGCGCGAGTGCCAACAGTCTCTCACTGAATCATCTTGTGCCCAGTCGTACCAATACTGCTCCGATCACGTTTTTCTTGCGCTTTCCGCCAACCAAACTGGTCGTAACCCGTACGACATAAGGGAACGCTGCGACTGGGTGGACTTTGGTTTTTGCCACGGTGTGCCACTTCTCGAGGAATTTCTCGCGCAAGATTCAGTGCACAAGTATCTGAACGTGGATCGTGACTGGGTCGGGGGCAGTGACGAAGTGGGCGACAACTTCGTCGCAGACTACATGCAATCGTTCGACAATTATGTAGCAGATCTACTGAACGATGGCGTTCGAGTGCTTCTATACGTCGGTGACGCTGATACGATGTGCAACTGGTCGGGTAACAAAGCCTGGATCGACGCACTCGAGTGGAAAGGCAAGGAGGAATTCAACGATGCAGAGGACAAGTCGTTGATGACACAAGACTTGCTTAACCCAGATGCTGCTCTTTTGAATGCTGGCACTGCGAGAACTTTCGAGAACCTCGCTTTAGTGCGCATTTTTAACGCAGGCCACATGGTGCCGACGCACCAACCTGCCGCGTCCTTAGATCTCATAACTAAGTTCTTCAAGAATGAAGTGCTTGGATAAAGTACTTCTCCGGTGTTAACAGCTACTTCAAGAGCGGTATACTACTACATGTATAATAGTACAGTGCTGGCCATAAATAGGAAGCCATCACTATTTCTCGAATGGCTGCGTCAATTATCTGCGAATTACCATAAAACCGGCTCGCCTTGAGCATCGGAGTGCGGTTGCGCTTGACAATCCCCGCTGCTTGAGCTCTTGTGAGTAAAATGAGAGCTGAATGAAATTGAGAGATAGCTCCTAGCGCTGCACTGCTTCCTCCTGCTAGCTACCTTAGACATGTAACCCATGGGTGCGCTCCCTTAAGACGCCTTGAACTTGGTGAAGTTGGCGAGCCGATCTATCCGTTGAACCCAGGCGCAACAGGGTGAGAATGGGTGAGATGGCGGACTTGTCTGCTACACATTGTCCCTCTGTAGCCCATGTGCGGAGTATGCTGAAGTACTCTACGCACAGTACGTGCTGATACGGTAAGCCCCAGCGACGTCCTCACGGAGTTTGATGACGCTCCAGCCTTCTTTACCTCGAGAACGATGTGCCGTTTGGTCCTTTCACATACCTTCGTGGGCTTCGCAATCTCTTGACAGTTCCATAAGTGTCTCGGTTTGACGACGATCATGGGCGAATCCTAACAACATTAGCAGCACTAAATGCTGTTCAAGTCTGTCGGCAACGGTGTTGTGGGCAAATTTATCGTACAAAGAAGACAAGCCTATAAAATGGATGTGAGCCATCGTGATATGTAGAGCAATTTTATCGATTGTTGTGATATTATTACTCTTATCAGGACCATTTCGACTCGCACAATAATTCTCAGTAGTTTAAAGTACTTGATGGTGATAGAAGTTGTTGATAATGTCGAGCGCCACTGCAGGTTGGTCTTGAGGAACCATGTGTCCTGCATTGAATACTCGGACGAATGTGAGCTCTTCATTTGAAATCACCGAGCCAACAGTTTCATCATCGACGACCAAGTCGCGTGCCTCCGTGGCGTTAAAAGACGCCGACCCTTTCCATTCCAGTGCGTGGAGCCACGCCAGATTCCCCGACCAATTGCACTCCAGATCAGCGTCACCCGCATAGATCAACACTCGCACCCCCGCGTCCAGCAGATCGCCAACAAACGCACTAGTCGACATCATGACGTCAGACGACTTGGCAAACGCAGAATTCACGTCCAAATTGCACATTTGCCAGTCACCGACACGATCGTCCACGTGAAGGAACCGACGTAGGTTTGGAGAGTTGAGATAAGGCGTGATCAACTCGATATCCTTCGAAATACACTGGATGACGTCCGTGTCGCTGGTGGCACATGGCTGTCGGATGTCGTACGGGTTTCTCTTAGCTGCCATGAAGACGCTCTCCAGGTTGTCTTGGCAATAACCTGCGGCATCCCAGCAAAGCGATGGCTGCGACTGGCACGCCTTCATCATGTGGCCGCAAATATCTGCCTGAGCTATTAATTTTGGCAGTTCATCTGGGTCAACGAACGAAATGTTGTATGCGTTTGTAGCCATGTCAATGAAATGCGGATTCTGGATAACTGGATTCGCGAGATTGAAATCCCCTGTAAATTAATAACAAGCGTCTTATCCACTTGGAGATTCTGTTGAAAGATGAAGTGCGCGGCAGCAGGTACATAATGACCGCCGAAGCTCTCGCCAGAGATGAAAAAGTCGCGGCCTTGTAGCTCTGGATGGCGCTCGAGGAAACCTTGTAAGAACCAATATATATTCTCTGCAACATTGTCTTCATTATCATCGGCATCCTTCGGATCAGGTCCGTACGAGAAGCCGACGTTCGTAGGCTGATCCAACCACACGACGTTGGCTTCATTAGTCCACGAGTACGGGTTCGTCTCAGTGGACAAGTCTGGTCTAACGCGGCACGGCCCGTTCTCAGTCAAAAGCGCCAACACACTAGAGCCCCCTGGGCCGCCAGTTAGCCACAGAACGAGTGGCGCAGTGTCAGGATTGCGACGCGCTTCAAAGTACCAAAAAAAGTAGTGATCGTCCACTTTATTGGGCAGTTTGATATAGCCAGAGTCTTGCTCGGTGTCTCCACAGAAATGTTCGTGTTCAGCTCCGTTAGAGGTGATAACGCGGATTGGTTTGGCTTGGTGTTTGCTGAGTTGTAAATTGGGGACCGTTCCGCGCCATAAACTCACGCCGAGCAACAGGCAGATCGCGCAGATCACCGCGAACGGCGGTACAGCCAGCTTGTGCACACGCGCGTAGCTCCTGATGGACGGTGGCGACTCGAGCGGATGACCATTGAGTAGCGGAGTGATCTCGGACGTCATGGGGCGTTGGTAGCTGTAGTAGCGAAATGAGCATCGTAGCGCCAGCACCACCAGAGTTCGTGTCCGTGTCTTTCTTACCATCATTCTTGGATCGCTCGCACAAAAGGTGCAGTTAGCTTCAACGTCGGCGTTGGCAGCCAACTTGGCTCGGATACTATCCGGGATAGCCGGCCGTGCTGTGCAGCAGACGCAGCCCGGACCAGACAAGTGTCGGACGATTCATCATGTGGGAGATCTTCCTGGCGGGGTGCCTAAGGCAACGTGCCCTTTTCATCTAGCAGTACAGCGCAATTGGGCGCCGGCCGGCGAAGGATACACTAGTTTGCAATCG